GTTAGTGTTATCCAGCTGGATCAGACACAGAACTTCCTTTCTCAAGATTCCTTTTCACAGACCTTCTACAACTTTCCTTGTAATTCCCTCAATAATTCATTTGCATACTTTGTACCTTCTATTAAACATGTCCTACTTTACTTGCGTTAAATTAAAGGTTGTTTCCCATGTATTCCTAGTAGTTTTAATTGCCAATTCAGTATTGAAATGTTAACCCTTAAAAGCCTCAATTTCGAATGAAAACTGTGAAATTATAATCTTACATCAGTATGTGTTTTAGATTGGCGAATTTATTAGTACATTTCAGAATGTCCAGAAACATAGGTTCTTTTACTGCAAATATATTTCGTATGTTTTTAGAAACGTGCCCTTTTTAATAGTACAATCCAAATTTATCTTATGGTTTCTCTGCAATAAGAAGCCAAAAAATAGACTTTGTTTAACAATTAATGTTTCAGGATTTTATTTTATTTGGAAATGATCTAAATATTCGGTAAATTTATATCATTTAATTTAGCCAGCAAACTTTAAAGTTTCAAGTCACCAAAAAATTCTAGGAAACCAGTTCTAAGCACATACATTTATTTGAGATCCAAAAGACTACCCATATTACCAAGGCTTTGAATTAAATACGATTGCAGGTAAAATATGATGGCCATTCACTGGCTTGGCTTCCTGGCCTCAGAAACTTTTAAGAGTTCAATCTGAGATTCGTTTTTTTTAAATTGGGGAATTGAGGGAGGGGAACAGTTTTGGGGAATTGGGGAAGGGGACCAGCTTAGTTGTTGTTCTTTAATCTTAGTTGTGAAGAGTGCCAGTCGCCATCTGGCTTCCCGTTGGCAGCTCGTGGCCTCTAAGCTCAAGGCGCTGAGTTCAGTTTTAGTTGCAGGTGGGTGTAGCCACCACCCCATGCAGGAGTCGAACCAGCAGCCTTGTTGTTAAGAGCGCATGTTCTATCCACTGAGCATCCGGGCGGCAGTTCAGCTTAAGGTGCCAAGTTCAGTCTTAGTTGCAGACGGGCGTAGCCCACCATAGAATAGGTAGTATTGTTAGGAGCATGTGCTCTCACCAGCTGAGCCATCCTGCCACCTGTTGGCAGCTCAGCTGCAGCTCAACTCAGGTGCAACGTCACTGGCCCATGTGGGAATCAAATCGTTGGCCCTGTTGCTCAGAGCTTGTGCTCTTAAGCTAACTCTTAACCAACTGAGCCCCTCACCTGGCCCCAATCTGGTATTCTTTATGAGAGGGTCCAGAAAGCAGTCTTAGAAAGAGCTTATATGTATGATCAATCACTGTTCATGTTGCAATTAAGTAATGTGGATGAAAAAGGGCCCTGACAATCTCAGGGCATAGCAGGCCCTACAAACTCAGAGACCAAAATTAACCACATAGGATGGTCTGAACATAAAAATTCCTGACTAAAAGCCAGTTATGGGGGTTAGTCACATCGTTGGCCTGTAGCTTCCTTGACAAAGGTCAGTCTTTATCTTAAGTGAGCATCTAAAGTAACATAACCTTGGAAATGTCAGAGTAATCCCTTTTTCCGACCCCTCAGGGCACAGCCGGCCACACCAGAGCAAGAGACCACATTGTTCTCTTATTTCCTGAATACCATCTCTCTGTGCTGTAAAATTTTAATTATTGACTATCCTGTACCCACCAATGTAAAAGTATGTGTCTGTAGATTTTACTTTTTATCCAATCCCAGAGATTTCCCCTTCCCCACTTTGCTTTCTCCCACCCCCTTGATCTACCACCAGTGGATTTTGTGTAACCCTTCTTAGGTCTCATCCTTTGATTCTAATGTATAAAATAAGGGGCAAAACTGCCTTTCTCCCATTGTCCTGGGCATTTTCTTAATCCATTGAGATTTTTCTTCCTGGCAATTGTCTTCAGTTTGACTCAAATTCATGAAATTTCTCTACAGGTTTGGACATTTCTTAAATTGACAGTAACTACTCAAACCAAGTTTAAGGCAAACAAATTAGTTTTACTGTGATTCTTTGGTAAAAAATTGGGGTAATTGTTGAGATGAAAAGTATGTTTGTACCTTTGTAGGTATTAGATTCTAATCCTGTTGAATGTCTTTAATGTTTTGTTATATACCTGTAAACTGGACTGAATTCTTCTAGTTTCCTCAAATACCTGGCTACGACATGGCTCCAATGTGTACGCCAGACGCTGGGAATTATCCAGCTCATACTAATCATAATACTCATCCTGGCGCGCTATATTCTCTCAAAGGCTTTAAATGCGCGTTCACTGTGGCTACCCACCAAGCAAAGGATCTTCCTAAGACTGGAAGGTCAGAAAAGGACTGAAGAGAATGACCGACATAAAAACAAATCGTGAACCTGAAGTCATGACCTGTAAATACTGTTGGGAATCAGCAAAGAAAAAAATCACACGGAAGATCATTCAAAGCCATGAGAACTATAGAGCAGTAGCCGAGAATGCTGCAAATGCCTTAAATTTTGATCACATCTCTCAGTGAGGCTGAGAGTCTCATCAAGAAGGGGGAAATTGTTTAAAAAAATAAAAAATAAACAGGGCCAACATGGAGTCACTTGCCCCCAGGACTACAAACCAAGATTTAATTGCAGTTCCAGTTTCCCCCAGGAATGGGACCTTTTAATCAGTCAATATGGCATTTCCTGATTAGCACTAATGAGGTGACCTGCACATGGACCCCTGCCCTTTCCCCAAAGGAAGGTTACCTGGAGTGAGATACTCCTTCCTCTTGTTTATGATTTCCTTGTCCCACTCCTTTCTGCATTTAAAAACTCACTATTTGTACAGCTCCTCAGAGCTCCTTTATATATTTACTAGATAGGTTGCTGCCTGATTCATGAATCACTTAATAAAGCCAATTAGAATCTTCACATTTACTTGACTGAATTTTTTTTTTGTAACATGTCTTTCAAGAAGAAAGAAAGCCAGTTATTTTGTGGTATGTTTCATGATTCTTTTTTATTATGACTATTGATATATACTTGACATACAGCATTGTGTAAATTTAAGGTGTACAACATGTTAGTACATTTATATATTGTAATATTGCCATTTTAGTGATAATTAGCACATCTGCCACATTGCATAATTATCCTTTTATTTAAGTGTTTGGAATAATTAAGTTCTAGTCTCGAAGCAGAGTCTGGTTGGGACCCCTATAATAGACGCCTCTTGGTGTCCCCGCCTCTTGGTGTCCCCGCCTCGTCTTCCATTATCTACCTATAGTTTAACAAAGATCACCGCCTGCAGCCGAATGTTCCCTCCCACTCAGTTTCCTGTTTAGAAAATTACCCTGAAATTTATGATTGATACCCTTAGGCTTTTTGATCACAATCTCAGTGGTGTAGCTTTCTTCCCAGGCTACTCCCATCTTTGTTACTGGGTTGCTGAAGCCACAGGAGAGCCAGAGGGCGGGCTCTCTGCAGACCCCTGGAAGCTCATGTAGCCTCTGGAGGAACACCCCGATTTTCCCTTAAATACTCTAAGCCAGTCTGAGAATGTTAAGGCAGTTTTTGAAGGTGTTAACCTGCTGCTTTCTCATATCACTAGTGCTCTGATAATAAATGCTATGCTATAGCCCAATTTCTGTGTTGGTTTATTGGCTGAGCTACGCAGTCAGCACAAACCCTGGACTCGGTTGCCCTCCAGTTTCAGTCTCAGCAAATTTGTTGATTGTGATACAATATTATTGTCTATAATCATTATACTGTGCATTAGATCTCTAGGATTTATTTACTAGTTGCAAGATTATACCATTAAACATCTGTCCTAGTACCCACTCGCGTCCCCATTTCTTGTGATTCTTGATATGCATATAATCATATAGATTTCTTGTTTTTGTGGCCATATTTAGGAACCACGTTTATATGAAATATCCAGAATAGGTAAATCCATAAAGACAGGAAGCAGATTGGCAGTTGCCCGGGGGTAGGGAGGACAAATGCTTAATAGGTATGGTGTTTCCTTCTGGGATGATGAAAATGATAGAAGAGATGATAGTTGCATAACATGGATTTTCTAAATCCCTCTGAATCGTTCACTTCAAAATGGTTAATTTTATGTTACGTGAATCTCACTTCCATTAAAATTTACTTAAAAAAATACCAACGTAAATGGTTTTGCTGCACCCCCATACACAAACCATAGATGTCTCTGCAAATAGAAATTCCATTAAAAAACTTACTGTATTATAATTGCAGTGATGTCTAACGATTAAAGTAATAAATGGGCATTGCAAGTTGATTTTTGATGGGAGAATTGATACGCAGAAGAGTCTATTATATCCCCATCAGTAAATATTTAAGGTTTAATGTATTATAATGTGTTACATTATAATACATGTACTACATTATAATACATTTAATGCATACATTTAATGTATAATGTATTAATGTACAGTTTTAATTTTGAAAAATTCCTATATTTGGGATGGATGTGAAAGGACAAAACCATCCGATTTGAATGGTATTTTAAATATTAAATAACAGGTTTTATAAAAAACAATATTTTAATACATTAAATTTAAACATTGACTATATACATTAAAACTCTAAGTCCAGATAAGAATTTGGATAGCTTTTTTTTCTCTGAATGTGTATGTTCCAGGGTTTCCTATTATTTACTTCTTCACCTTCAAGCTGAACGCCTACCCTCGTTTACGTCGAACTCCCTTCACTCTTCACTAAATGTTGTCTTGTTTTTTAACCTCTCAGCTTGTTGCTCTCCTAAGTGAGAGATCTATACCTTGCCATACTTCCGTGGATTAGAAGAAGGGCAGATGTTTAGCACGCTGTAGTAGATACCTAAGCGATTGTAGCAATGGTGGTTACTTGAGTGTTGTCAGGAAAGTAAATCTTTGCCTTCTCCTTATTGGTACCTTTTATGACCGTTACCACCTGTGGAAACATAAGTGCCTTTTGGAAACTGATAGCTGATGTATGTGCAGTTATGTGTCTCTCAGCAGTGGTTTATTTGCTGTGTTTTCCCAGGTGAGAGAAGATGCTGTCCCGGTTGAGAAGAGTTGCCACTCCTTGTTCTCTGGCATGCCGTTATTTGCACAGAAAAGAGAAAGGCAAGCCACTTATGTTGAACCCAAGAACAAACAAGGTTAGTCACATTGATACTAACATACTATTTCTCTCTTCCTGGTAAAGGTTTGATTTGATGTATTGTAGACTGATAAAGTATGAAATTTTTGTATTTTGTAGCTTTATACTAAAACTATTCAGAGGCATTTGCTTTCTCTGCCTGAACTTTTCACTTTTCTCCATATGGCAAGAATCATGGCTGCTTTATACCTCCCGAATTTCACCCCTCACAACTTCTACCATCAGTAAGGGATTGATTTTGTTTCCTAGTTCTAGCTTAGAAAAATCCCCAGAATGGCAGTCTGGCCAGGACTTTTGGCCAGATGTGGGATAGTTAGATTTATCCAGCTCAAATCAGGTACTCATCCTGGACCAATCAGTTGGGCCCTTGGAAGATAGGGTCAGAATTGTAAAATGAAATTTTATCTAATGTCCACCCCACACCCCAACTCCACACAGCTTTTTGGACACAAATCTTTACACACAAGTGATTGTGCCCATTGTCACTGTACTCCTTCAAAGAAGAGAAACTTCTGACCCTTTTCATAGTCTTGGGGCAGAAAGGATGGGCAATATTGAGATGTAGTCATGCCTTTATTCTGGATCCAAGCTGGATTCAATGGGCAAGTCCCTCTCTGTGTTTTAGGGGCAGTATTAAATAGTAAATAAACATAATTCTGGAAAGAGATTTCTTGCAGGAAGCTTGCAAGAGGATCCATTGGGTTTATTGCAATATGTGAAATTTACCTTTTGGGAATGGTGCATTCAGATTAAGGTGTGATTTATTTTAAAACAACGGTCAAGAAATTTTCAGTCCCATTTGTTTTCCATTATAGGGGGATACTTAATTGGATAGCATGATATGTTTTGAGGGTTTTCCGTCCTACAAAGGGGAATTTGACTAAGGGTCACCCAGAGCACTTTATCTTTACATTTTTGGTACCTGGCACAGAACGAGAATTCAGCAAGCAGTGAATTAAATGAAGTTTAATGAGGGACAAAACCCAGTTCTCCTGTCGAGCCTTTTCACACCACCGTAGACGGGAATAATCACTCCCATCTCTGAAACCCTGTAGCAGTTTTTATCCTCCTGTTCCTATGGCAAGTAATCAATGTATGTTGCTTTGTGCTGCTTCTCATGTCTTAAGCTGTTGTTGAAAAAAATGATATAAATACGTTTTCATGACTTTATGTTTCTTAAGTATATTTCATGTTCCTTGTGGGCAGAGACCATTCAGAATTTCTTTGTGTCTTTTATAATGCCATGGGTATAGTAAACATTTGATACATATGTTGGTTTTATTTTATTTTTATCCTTACGGATATAAAATCTACTTTGTGGGTGTTATAAGAAATTTATAAAGTACATTGTGGCAAATGAATTCTCAGGAGGAAGATAGTCTAAACTACATTATAATACTTCTATAAAGAAAATAAAATCGAACACTTTGGCCTTCTGAAATCTCTAAGGTTGGATTGTATCTGTATGGTTACCTCATTGAAGGACCACTTCTGGAAATCCCTAACAAATCAGGAAGAGTTTTTTTGTTGTGTTTGTTTAAGGAGGAACATAGACTAATGATTCCCAATTTGCAGGTCATGCCCTCTTTGGGGACTTAACCATATAAAGAAGAAGTCAAGTTCGTGTTTCAAACGTTATAGACTAAATTAATAATTTCTTACATATTTATAAATACTATTATAAGAGTGTGTTGCCACTGTGATTAATAAAATAGTAATTAAAGGCATGTGTACTGGAGAAGAAGTGTGTATCCTGCTGCTGTTGAATATATTGTTCTATAGGTGCCTGTGAGGTCTGGTTGCTTTATAGTGTTCAAGTGTTCTATTTACTTGTTGATAATTCTGCCTAGTTGTTTTCTCCGTTATTGAAAATTAGATACCGAAGTCTCCAACTTGTTGTCTTTCTCCCTTCAACTTTTGGTCAGTTTTTGCTTCATATATTCTGGACCTCTTTTGTTAGATGTATATATGTTTATAATTATTGTATCTTTCTTTTTTTTTTTTTTTTAAGCTGAGCCATCCTGCCACCTGTTGGCAGCTCAGCGGCTGCTCAGCTCGGGCCGGGACTCTAACCGCTGTTGCTCAGAGCTCAAACTCTTGAGCGAGCTCTTAACCAACTGAGCCACTCAGCCGGCCCATATTGTATCTTCTTAATGGATTGCACCTTTCATCATTATAACATGTCTTTGTCTAGTAACAATGTTTGGTCTGTTTTGTCTATTAATATAGCCACACCAGCTCTCTTTTTGGTTATTTTTTACATGGCATATAGTTTTCTGTTTTTTTACTTTCCACTTAATTTGTGTCTTTGAGTCAAAGTGTGTCTCTTGTGGACATTTATTGGATCATGTTATTTTATCCATTCTGTCAATCCCTGCATTTTCATTGTAGAGTTTAATCCATTTACAGTAGTGTAGTGACTGATAAGGTAGATTTACATCTGCCATTCTGCTATTTGTTTTCTAAATGTTATGTCTCTTTTGTCTTTCTCTTCCTTCTTTGTTCCCCTCCTTTGTGTTACACAGATATTTTCTAGTATACCACTTTAATTCCCTTGTCATTTCTTTTCCTGCCTATTTCTGAGTTATTTTCTTAGTGGTTTGCCCTGGGGATTACAATTAATCATTTTTATAACAGCCTACTTAACTGATACCAACTTAATTGTAATAGTATACAAAAACTTGGCCCCTGTATAGCTCCACACCCCCCTTTTTGTGCTGATTTGTCATACAAATTATGTCTTTGTACGTTGCATGACCAGCACAGATTTATAATTATTGCTTTATGTAGTTGTCTTTTAAATCAGGTAGTAGAAAAAAAGACCTACAAACAAAGTACATTTATACTGTCTTTTATATTTGCCTGTGTATCTGGGAGATCTTTCTCCTACATTCTTAGAGATACATGTTTACCTGTATTTGCTCAGAGGTGGGAGCTTAGGGCCTCCTCATGTCTTTCGTGAACATGCCTACAGCTTATGCACACGAACTTCTAAATTCTCAGGAATAAATCCAAGGTTTTCAAAGCCCCTCCATGGACTTCTTATTTTTTAGCTTTTCCTTTTCATCTTTTTGGTTAGACTATTGTCTGGCTCATCTATTAATTCACTGCTTTAGGAAGTTACCCTGTTAAGTAACTACCTCTGATTGTTTTTAACAAGCTTTTCTGAGGAAAAGGCTAGTCACACTGGGTGAGCTCCAAGTCAGGTCAAATAAAGACAGATTTGCAAGTGGGGTCTTCCAGGGAACCACCAGACAGGTCACATAATGACAGTTCCCTGGGTATAGGGCTTTAGAACAATCTCCAACCTCTTCTGCCCTCTCCAGTGGCTACCAGGCTCTGGTTTGCCAAGTGATTATCTCACAGTGGTTGCCATTTTCAAGGCTGCTGTGTAGCTGGGGAGAAAAGAGGAGGAATAAGGCAAGTTAAAATGCCATGAAGCTTGCTATTCTTGCTGAAAGTCAGCTGTTTTTCTTGAATAAATGCTTTTCTGTTGCTGAGGCCTTTGGTTAATTTCCAGAATTCTGAAAAAGTTGAATCTGATGATTAGGCCAGTGTTCTTATTGTTTTTGTGGAGGAAATGATCTTTGGAAGTCCTTACGGTGGCATTTTCACTGACGTCTTTTTGATACAAAGAATTTAACCCATAATTGAATACAAAAAATTGAAAAAAATTTTCTTACAACATAGGTTTTTCCTTTTTTTTTTTTAATTAAAGTTTATTGGGGTGACAATGGTTAGTAAAGTTACATAGATTTCAGGTGTACAAGTCTCTAATACATCATTTATATATCACATTGTGTGTTCACCACCCAGAGTCAGTTCTTCTTTCATCACTGTATATTTGACCCCGTTTACCCTCATTTACCACACCCCCGCCCCGCCCCTGGTTTTTGCTTAAATGTAATTTCTTCCTCCTCCTACTCTGCCTTACTCCTTTCTAGTAGGGGTAGCCCCTCTTATCAGTTTGGTTATGTTCTTTCAAACTATATTCTGTTGATTTCATTTCTAATGTATGCCTGCATCTGTGTATATGTACTTTATTGGGAGCAGTGTAGTTAGCAGTATGTGTGTTTTGATTTGCAACTTGCTTTTTTTTTTCTTCTTAGCTGTGTATCTGGGAGATTTTCTACTACATACTTAGAGATATGTGTTTGTGTCATGGTATTTCATGGTATAGAAATAACATACCTAGGTTCCTTAACTATTCCATAATTGATGGACTTTTTTTTTTTTTAAAGATTTTTTTTTTTTATTGGGTAATTGGGGGGATGGGAACAGCGGTGGGGAATTGGGGAAAGGGAACAGACAAGTTGCTGTCACTTTGTTCTTCAGTCTAGCCGTGGAGGACGTTGCTTCACTGGCCCAAGTTGGCACCATCATTGCGCTCTTCCCGGGCGAGGCAGATCAGTCACCGGCTTCTGGACGGCCGCTCACGCTGGCTGCTGGCCGCTCACGCTGGCTGCTGGCTACACACGGTAGCCCATGGCAACCCACTGTCACAGGGGCTGCAGCCTATGCCGTCGCCGGCAACTCACGTCAGCCCAGCTCCAGGTTGAGCTGTTGTTCAGCATCCCAGCTGTGGAGGGCAGTGTCACTAGCCCTCATATGTGGGATCCGAACCGGGGCCCTCTGGCATCCCAAGCCAGTTCTTAACCATCGCGCCACTCGGCCGGCCCTTCCATAATTGATGGACTTTTAGTTTGTAATAGCCAAGAGAACTAGAAACAGTGCTATAATAGAACTAATCTCTTTGCATATGCCTCTTTATGTATGAATATTTATCTAGGATGGCTTTCTAGAAGTAGAATTACTTTATTATAGAGTATGTGCATTAAAAAATTTAAGATTACTTTAAAATTGTCTTCCCCAAAGCCTAAACCAGTTTACATTTCCAGCAATGGAATGTGAGAGTAACTCTTAACATTCCCTCTTCAATACTAGATATGATCAATCTTATGAATTTTTGACAGTCCAGGCAAAAATGACATCTCACTGATTTTTAAAAAAATTTATGTTTAAATTACATTTTGTGAGACAGCACTGTTGCTAGCCCAGTAAGTAATCATTTTTAATCCTTTTATTTCTCCTTTTTAGGGAATGGCGTTTACATTACAGGAAAGACAAATGCTTGGTCTTCAAGGACTTCTACCTCCCAAAATAGAGACACAAGATATTCAAGCCTTACGATTCCATAAAAACGTGAAAAAATTGAGTTGCCCTTTGGAAAAGTAAGAGTTGATTAGATGTTTAGTTTTTATTGATGTTATAATCTGGAAAATTGGGAATTTTATGGTTATAATGGCATGAGAAATATACAGTGTCATAATGAAGTTTGTGTTTTTGTCAGTTAACTGTTATTTTTGAAATGGTATTTCCTTCATCACAGTGAACGTTTCACTTGTGTGCACTATTATAAAATTTAGCTGAAATCAGCTTTTTATGCTTAAAATCAGAGAGCGTTTCAGGTTTGAATGGAATAATAGAAGCAAAGGCTATCATCTAATCTGCACCCATTCTATTCAATAACTTTTATTGATCCCTACTTTGTGTGTGCCACTGTGGGATATAAAGTGGGTAGTAAATAGGGTGACCATATAATATATCATCCAATCTAGGACACTTAGAGGAGTGAAAAAGAGGAGTAACTGAACTTGGCCTAGGCGCGTGCATGTCCTCTCCAGTAATGCACAGCCCTCCTTCCTAGGAGCTCATCAATAGACAGGTGAACTGTGTCTGCCATTTACTCTGTACTACAGCATGCAGGACAGTGAGAAAAAGGTATATGCAGACTGTATCCTGAAAGCGCTAAGAGGGGCACCTAATCCAACCTGGGAAATCAGATAAAGCTTCCTGAAGGAAGCGAGGCCTAGTTGAATTTCAAACAGTGTGTGACAGGTAGCTAGCAAAACGAGAACGAAGGACAAGGTCTCTTGGGTAGAGGGATCAGTCTAAATACAGGATTAAAAATACCTGTTGGGTTAAGTATAGGAGATTATTGATTATTGGTGACTGGTAAGAGTGGATTTTTTTGATGTGATGGGGCAAAAGTAGACTGTAATTGAGAAGTGAATGGGAGGGGAAGAAATGCAGGCTCTTTGAAGAAGTTTAGGTAAAGGGGGGAAGGAAGACATTGAACAGTAAATAAAGCAGGACTCGGGCTTACGGTGGGTATATTTCAGGCTGGAAGGAATTTGAACACGCTCATGGCTGTGAGGAATGAGACCAGGAGAAAGGGGCATCGACGGAACAAGATCCCAGAGAAAGGACAAGGGCTTAGAGTCAAGTGCAGAGGTAGAAAGGCTGGCCTGGAACAAGAATAAAAGAACAGCTCATTGTCTGAGGCAAGAGCAAAGAATACAGGAATAAGTGAGGATAAACTATGCAGGTGATGGAGCACAGGTTGTGAGATCTCATCCACCTGATGACCTTGATTTTTTTTATGATGTGGAATATGAAGGTAGTGGCTAAGATTTCGAAGGACCAAGGTTGAATGGGACTGGTGAGGAGGATGATAAATGTTTGGAAGAGCTGATTTAGCCACAAGGTGAATGCAAACAAGAAAAGGTTAAAGGGATGAAAGTAGCTCTGAAGGCCTAGTGACATGATCTTGTTTGTATTGATGTCATTCGGCCCAGCAACAGTATTTTTCCATGGAAAAGGTGACATGTAACATTGATTCACGTTTGGGGTTAGCTGGGCTGGCAGAGATGCTGCATTAATTCATTCAGCTAATATTAATTCAGGACTGTTAGGTGTCAGGCATTGTTCTAAGCGCTGGAACTGCAAAAAGGAAAAATTCCAGCCCTTGCCTTCACAGAAAGAAAAGGCAGACACTGTGGAAAGGTGGTGCAGTGATAAAGATAGGAAGGGAGTCTCCTAAGTGGTAATGATGGTGAGAAATTTGTTCAGAGTGCAAGACTTGATCATGGGACCCAGAGTGGGGTAAGAAGAGGAGCCAGAAGGGAGCAAATAGAATGGGAGGAAATGAAGCAATCGAGGAGCAAGAGATCCCGCGAGGAACTGAAGCAAGGACATCGTATAGCTAGCCCAAGGGTGGAGGATCACAGTGAAATAATGGCATTCAAGATTTCTGAGCTGTAATAGTCCTAGGTGAGGACAACATGATCCGATGTGAGGTCCTCAGAGGAGTGACTGAAGTGAAGTGAAGTGAAGGTGATAACATTAGGAGATCCAGGAATTCCACAGCTTCCCTCTGTCACATGCCTGATAGGTCATCTGTTCTTTCCTTAACATTTCTGCTGTCTATTTCATAAAGCTATTCAGTCTTAATAGCCCAGTTGTTAGTTTTCTTCCCTATACTGAGGAGAAATCTCCTTCCTTTTAATTTCTACCTATTGGTATTATTTGTGCCCACAGTAGCATTCTGTGGAAATATTATTCCTCTTCTAAATGGAATTTGTTCAATTTTCTCACCAAATATGTGCATACCAGTTGTAGTCCACATACTTTGCTAGTTCCTGGAAATATGGAAGTATGTAGGGTGATCGTCCTAAACTCATGATGTCATCTGGGCTGGCTGGAAGACAGAAAGTCAGGAGGTGGAGTGAGGGTTACAGAAGAGAGAGTGAAGTGTGGTGGGACCTGAAAACAGGGAAATCTAATGGTGCCTGTGATGGGATGGGGAACAGGCAGAGGAGGACCTCAGAGAATGAGCGTGCCATGCTGAGCTGCTTTTGGAGAGCATCAGAATAGGCCTAAACCTGGATACAGGGTGTTCAGGCAAAGGGTGCCTCGTAGGCAGCAACTCCAAGGTAAGAGTTGTGATGCATTTGAGGACCTGAAGTAAATTCACTATGAGTTTGAGGCTGAAAAGTAGGTGGAGGTCTTGATAACTCTTTAAGGAGCTTACGCCTCTGTAACTGGTGTTTGGAAGCCATTCAAGGACAGGAGACATGGTTAGAGTTATGTTTTTTTTTTTTTTTTAAAGATTTTTATTGGTGAATTGGGGGGATGGGAACAGTGCTGGGGAATTGGGGAAGGGGGACAGACAAGTTGCTGTCGTTTTGGTCTTCAGTCTAGTTGTGGAGGATGTTGCTTCACTGGCCCAAGTTGGCACCATCATTGCGCTCTTCCCGGCGAGGCAGATCAGTCGCCGGCTTCTGGACGGCCGCTCACAGCGGCTGCTGGCTGCTCACGCTGGCTGCTGGCTACACACGGTAGCCCATGGCAACCCACTGCCATAGGGACTGCAGCCCACGCCATCGCCAGCGACTCACAGCAGCCCAGCTCCAGGTTGAGCCGTTGTTCAGCATCTTAGCTGTAGAGGGCAGTGTCACTGGCCCTCATATGTGGGATCCGAACCGGGGCCCTCTGGCATCCCAAGCCAGTTCTTAACCATCGCGCCACTCGGCCGGCCCGAGTTATGTTTTTAAGAGAAGAATAGATTGGAGCAGGGAAGAAAAAGCGTGTATATAAAAACAAGTTAGAAAGTTCTTGAGGCAGCCCAGGTAAGAAATGGTGGTGGCTTGGACTGGGTGAGGGTGAAGGAGGGAAATAGATGTACTTGAAAGATATTTAGCAGGCAAACTCTGTGGGACTTTTTGACTTACTAGATTGGAGTAGGAGAGGGTAGAATAGGAAGAAATCAAGAATGGACTTTGCAGTTCCCATTTGTTTGGATGATAACAGGAGGAGAAGTATGTTTGGGGAAAGAATAATAAGTCTGTTTCAGACATTTCATTCAGGATGATTACTGGTTTTTCAAGTCAATGTTTTTCTAAGCTTTATTTTTTAGAGGACATTATTTTTATATTTATGTGAATTCTATATTTATATAGAAGATGTTATATATTTATATGAATTCTATATTTATATAGAAGACATTATATATTTGTATGTGCTACCTCTGTGCTTTGTATAGACCTTATAATGTTTATAAGCCTACTGGATTATGAACTATTGGGTTGTTGGAAAAGTCATGACGCATTTTTACAGTGAAAAACAGAAAAAATACGTCATGACTTTTCTGACAACGCAATACATGAGGACGGGGGGGGGGCACTTCTTACATCCCTGGAGTTTAGAATAGTGCCACATAGTTAGTATTTAGTAAATATTTGAATGAATGCCACTTTATTTTGCTTCCTTATTTACATGTCAGTCACCTTGAAGATTAGTTCCCCTAAGCGTGTGTGTGTGTGTGTGTGTGTAGGGGGAGAAGGGAGGGGTGAAGGGGGAGGCTCATGGTAATCTTTGCATTTCCAGTGCCTGGTACAGAGCCTGACTCACATTGAGGGCTCTGTGAATGTTAGCTGTTGTTTCTGCTGTTATTCTCTTCATCATCATCATCAGCTGCTACCATTTACATATATTTTAATTTTTGTTAATTTTTACTCCTGGGTGTTAAGTCATGATAATTTAGGATTTTGTTTTCCGGGAGAGGGGGTGGCCCTCAATTTAGATGATTAGATTTAACTTTCAAAGGCCAAAACTTTGAATTAATACTGGCTGACATAGACATTATTTACTGTGCTTAATTCCAGATACATCTACATAATGGGAATCCAAGAAAGAAATGAGAAATTGTTTTATAGAGTACTGCAAGACGATATTGAAAATCTGATGCCAATTGTGTATACACCAACAGTTGGTCTTGCCTGCTCCCAGTATGGACACATCTTTAGAAGGCCTAAGTAAGACTTATTTTTTAAAATATATTTGAAAATGATTATTGTGTAGGAAAAAAATCACTCCATGACACCTATTACATTTCTATTTTATTTGTTGCAGTCTTATCTCAACTACATTTCCCACCTCACAAAAGCTTAATTTGGACAAAAAGGGATTAATAAAAACTCGACATATTCATAACTTTTGTTTTTGTAGAAATAGCATCATTCTTACCTTATCTTCTTTACGTTTATTATGATTGTTAGAGGAATTGTGCCTTTTGTACCAAAAAAAGGGTACTCTAAATTCTGGTGGCAGATTCTCCAGAATTATTTATGTTTTTGACAATCTGACCAAATTAAGAGGTTGATTCTCATTTTTTGGTCAGCTTTCATTTCTGTTGTTTGTTCTTTCTATGAACTTTCATGAATTTTGATTTCAAATAGCATCTCCAAATGTTTTAAGTGGAAAGAGACTGGAATGGGCCTTGACTCAAGCCTTTGAGCAAGTCACCCTGTCCCCCTCAATCTGTTTTCTTATCATAAAATAGGGATACCAGCACCTATCAAAGAGCTGCTGAGGAGGTCAGATGAGGAAACTGATGTGAGGTTGTTTGTAAACTTATAAGTATTACATCACTGCTATTTTTTTCTTAGAGTTTTCCTGTCTTGTTCCTCTCACCTGTCGTTTTCCTCAATCCTTACATCTCACTCCCTGCTCGCATGTTGATATAAATGGAGAAATTCACACCATGTGTGATAGCGTTTATCTTCAGCCTGTCCTCATCTATTCTAGTGGCTTTCAGACCTTACTGTGCATAGGAAACACCTGTGGGACTCACTCAGCATGTTGATCCCTGCCAGCTCCCCTGTCCTTCCCATTCCCAAGATTCTGATGAAAAAGAGAAAGGTCTGGAGTCCAGATGTAATGACCACCATGGTGATGGCGTTGCTGGTCGCCCCTGGAAGACACTTTAACACTGTCTGTTCTGTCCTGTGTGGTGCCATCAGTGAATGTGTCTGAAACATTTCTATGGCGTTACCCAACTCTTTTACAATTTTGTTTTTCACTTCGAATACTGGTTCTTAGTCCAGATGAAAGGACAAGAGGAAACTTAAAAAAAATCCTGGTGCCTGAGCCCCACCTGCAGAGATTCTGATTCAGTTAGTCTAATTTGGGCCCAAGTTTTGGCGTTTTCATAAAGCTACTGGTGTGTTTCTGATGTGCACCCAGAGCTAAGAGCTGACATGAAACAGAGAGCATGACTTTGGATGAGGACAGATGCTGTGTATCATTTATGTAGTGTACTGACTGCTGCAGTGGGGTTTTTTTGTTTGTTTTTTACCTAGAAGATGGTCAGTAAATCATGGTTAGTTGATCTAAACTACAGGCCAGTTAAATCACAATCTCTGGGATGGGACCCTGGCATTTTAAAAAAGTTCATCAGGTGATTCTATTATGGTCCAGAAACTGTTTAACTATGGGTTGTCAGAAAAGTCACGACGCATTTTTGCAACGAAAAATGTAGAAAAAAATATGTCATGACTTTTCCAACAACCTCATAAAATGATTTGAGCTAGGATAGTAATGCCCAAGTTAAGATACCAGTGAGAAGGTTAGGTGTAAGAATCCATGTGAAAGCATTGGGACCGCTGGCCCTCATCTCTGCCTAGAACCTGTGTTTTTGTTGGGTTTCTTTTTCCCTCCTTCCTTCCTCCCTTCCTTCATTTTTTGAAATCTAGATTAATGATCTCAGTGTGTTTTAAACAACTCTTCACTTTTTTCTAATGCTTTAAGGATTTCATTTTTTATGTGCAATTGCTGAGTTTTCTTCTCTCCCTTCTTGCTCCTTCAAATTTTCAGTTTCAGTGAGTTTTAGCAGAAGAAGTTTATTTAGCCTTATTTTGCTCTTCTGCATTGGCAGTTTGTTTTTATATTGCCTTTTACTGGCGGTGTATTGAGTTTATTTGAAAATGATAGGTGGATACATTTCTTCTTGTGTAAAATGATCACATCATTTAAAAATCTTTGTTGCAACGCAGTTACAGAGCCTGTAATTTTAAGTATTAATAGTTGAAAATGTTTACCAGTGTGACTTAGCTAAATCTGCTTGGAAATTATACCGTGTCTTGATGTTTTATTAAAATATCTAAATATTCCCATTGTGAACGAAGACTTAGAAAAAGCAAAAAACTGTTGTGAAATGCAAAGGTGTTTTTGTTCTGTTGCAGGGGATTATTTATTTCGATCTCAGACAGAGGTCATGTTAGATCAATTGTGGATAACTGGCCAGAAAATCATGTTAAGGTACTAATAGCACAACCTTCCTTTTCCCAATGTTTTTTCTTTTCCTTGTAAGTTACCTCTAAATTTCCAAGAACAATTTTTCATTGCTGCCGTGATTTATTTTGCACTTATATACATGCAGATTTAGCACCCTGAGGGGATCATAATAGTAATAACTGTAAAATGGGTTACTGGTATAGCGTTTGACTTTGGGAAAGAAATTGAGCCTGCTGCTGTCTCTTGCCTTCTCAATGTTCCTTTTCTATTTCAATTATTATTTTCTATTCCAATTAATATTATTCCATTTCAATTGCTAATCAGTTAATAATATATATTATTAAAACATCATAGAAACTTACTGTTGTGCATTGGGGAGGATTTATTATGCCTTTTTTCTAAATCTTGATAGATTTAGATCCTTAAGCAAGTATAAAACTCTTTAGAGTTGCAAATCTGGCAAATATATTGGTCAGTATGGCTGTCTTTCACAAAATAAAATCTAACGACTTAAGATCTTTTGTTAGGCTTTCGTGTTTATTACACACAGTAATCTTACGTGCCTTTATTACATGCCTTCCTCACTAAAATCATCTTTGCTGAATAATCATTAGTTCTGATAATCTAGAAAAAAATTGGTCAGATAATTAAACTGACAGTATTATCTTAAAACCTTGTAGGTAGGTATATTTTTTATTCTAGATCTTTTCTTCTTTCATCCTTGCTAAGGTTTTTCTTGTTTGGCTTAGGTTATTATGTTGGAGTAGCATGTTGTTTATTTCTAAACTTTTATTTTTCTCTAATGGGTAATCTCTATCAGAAGTTTGTTCCCCTCTCCCTGATTTAGTCTTTATGAAGATATTTAAGTTGATTCTCCAGTCAGAAACATTCTGTTCCTAAACCAAAGACAGAGGAAATCAAATCTAATTAATTCTCTTTTTGACATCTAGACTCTAGAAATTCTAGAATTTTAATTATTCTAGGTTGATTTACTTTGGAAGTTAGTCAAGAAGCAATTTTATTTTTTAAAGTGAGAGTGAAAATATAAAATATTTTAAAAATGCTTTTCTTTAATGTCCCATTTTTGACAGCATTTATTTATTTTTATTTTTTGTAATTAAGGCTGTTGTGGTGACTGATGGAGAGAGAATTCTGGGTCTTGGCGATCTGGGTGTCTATGGAATGGGAATTCCAGTAGGAAAACTTTGTTTGTATACAGCTTGTGCAGGAATACGGCCTGATAGGTGCCTGCCTGTGTGTATTGACGTAGGAACTGATAATCCAGTAAGTAAAATCATTTTCCCCCTCTGATCCTCCTCCCATATTGGAAAAAAAATTTGTTTTATATTTTTATAAGAGTTTATTTGAGTAAAACTGATGACATATGCAGGGGAGCAAGATCTCAAATGTTCCACCAATTTATTTTCATTACAGTCCTCTTTTAAAGATAATATAAGGGAAATTTTTGTGACTAGGTGTTAGTCCTTGTCTTAAACTCTGCTTTTAATATTTATACAAATAATAGTAAATTAAGCTTATTCAAAGTTTCTTGAAGAAGGGCAATAAGGTTTAAAAAACTACCTTATTTTTTTATTTTGCAATTTTTGTTTTACCAAATGTGTTTAAACTGGTTATGTAAACAAAATGACTCATTCTTTACATTTGTTCTATTTTATAGGCACTCTTAAAGGACCCATTTTACATGGGCTTATATCAGAAAAGAGATCGATCACAACGTTACGACGACCTGATTGATGAGTTTATGAAAGCCATTACAGACAGGTATTTTTTTTTTTTAAGTTTGAGTATATAAAAGCATTTTTAATTAAAAAAATCACAGTTTTGTTATGTTTTCCTCATCTCTTGTGAAGATAGGTAGAAGGAGATTAAATTTTTGAGAACGGGGGTTCTTTTCCTGCCTGATCAGATGTGCTGATAATGGTGATACCCCACATCCTCTGCCTTGCTTTCCTGAGTTTTCTGACGTCTTGAGTGAAGTCTGCACGCACTGCTCTTATCATAAGCCCACTGTCTCGTTCTCTCAGCCCTTGACATCCAGGCTCACGTTCCCATTCCAGTGAAACTCGTACAGTTTTCATGTTTTATTTTTTTTAAAAGATTTTATTGGGGAATTGGGGAAGGGGAACAGCGTTGGGGAATTGGGGAAGGAAACAGCCAAGTTGTTGTCCTTCAGTCTTAGTTGTGGAGGGTGCAGCTAGCTCAGCTCCAAGTCCAGTCACCATCTGGCCCCCCGTCAGCAGCTTGCAGCCTCTCAGCTCAAGGTGTTGTGTTCAATCTTAGTTTCGGGGGTGGGGGTGGGGGCGCAGCCTACCATCCCATGCGGGAGTCGAACCGGCAACCTTGTTGTTAGGAGCATGTGCTCTTACCAGCTGAGCTAGCAGCTCGGGCGCACTCACTAGCCCATGTGGGAATCAAACCGGCAGCCCTGTTGCTCAGAGCTCATGCTCTTAACCAGCTGAGCCACTCGGCCAGCCCTATTGCTTTCATGTTTCAAATTCGCTACCATTTGGGCCTCTTCTGTCTCCACCACTTTGCAGCATCTGACCAAGTTTTCTACTCCTACATCCTTGAAATTCTCTCTTCTCCTGATTGCTAAAAGACTTTCCTAACTAGGTCTTTTTTTTTTCTTTTGTCATCTTCACTGGTTCTTCTTGTTCTCTTATATGAAATGCGGATGAGTACATAGTTCTCTTCTCTTGGAGTCATGTCAGCGATGGGCTTTATGCATGTGACTCCTAAACCTGTGAAAACCCATCTGTGTAGTCCCACCTCTCTCTGAGGCCTAACCTTTCTAACAACTGAAATTCTCCATGCAGACATTCTGTTGATCTTTCACAATCGTGTCCCATACAACTTCCCTTTCCAACTGCTTATCTTCTATGTATCCAGCCTCTATCCATGGCAGTAACATTCACCCTATTGCCAAACCTTTGATCTTGGTGTTATCTTTGATTCTTCCTCCTTCTCCATCAACCCCCTACACAGTCAGTCAGTCGTCAGATCCAGTTGGTGTTACCACCTAAATGCCTCAGAAATAGACCTGTCTTCCATTGCCACAGCCTTTCTGTAGGTTCTCATCTCTCTTCTGGATTCTTTTACATCTTCCTCCAGTTTCTCTCCTTTTCAGTTTATCTCCACATTACCACCATATTCATCTTTTTAAAACACTTCGTTAGGTCATTCTTTGGCTTGAAATCTCTCAGAGGTTTTCTGTCGCCATAGGATAAAGTTCAAGCTCTTTACCTTTATGACCTAGCCCTATCTTTATGACCTGGCCCTCCCCTACCTTTTAAATTATTGCTACATAGACGCTATTAAAAAATAAATTCCTTTTCAGAGTCAGAGTTGACATATTGAAAACTAAACTTTTCCTCATCTCAGAAATAGCCACCCCCTGCCCTTCCCCTCACTTGCCTATCTTAGACAATCAAATAGTATCTTAGTTAGTCATCCAGGTTGCCTTAATGTTTTAACGTACTTCTCACTCTCACTTGGTCTTCATCTTCAAGTTCTGCTTGTTCTTTCTAATGTCTCATAATTGTCCCTTTCACTTCCAATGGCTTTTGCTTCAGACTGTTTTGTCCTCATACCTTGGTAGCCTCCTAGCTGCCTCTCCTGTCTTTCTCAACTCTCCCCACACCGATATGTGCTACACATCAGTGGTAGGTTGATCCTTCCTGAAGGGCGTCTTACGTGAACTCTTCCCTTTTCTGAAGCCTTTAGTGATTCTACATTGGACACAGAATCAAGTCCCCATTCTCTAAATTGGCATTCAAAGTTCTCCCTTATCTGGACCTAACTGACCTTAACCAGTTTCTCCCTTATCTTTTCATATAAACCCTGAAATATAGCCAGACTGTTGAAAATTTAGGGTCACCAAAATAACCTTGCTTTTCTTCCTACCTCCTGACTTTCTTTTCTATTCTTTCAGGGTCCAAATAAAGTCCCGCCTCCTTTTCACCTTATTACCCCATCTTACCAAGATGATTGATGTCTTTTCCTGAATACCAGTGAACTCATGCAGCAATTATTGGGTTGTCGGAAAAGTCATGGCGCATGTTTACAACGAAAAACAGAAAAAATACATCATGACTTTTCCGACAACCCAATTTAAAAATTTTTTTTTTAAAGATTTTTATTGGGGAATTGCGGGGATGGGAATAGTGCTGGGGAATTGGGAGAAGGGGAACAGACAAGTTGCTGTCATTTTGTTCTTCCGTCTAGTTGTGGAGGACGTTGCTTCACTGGCCCAAGTTGGCACCATCATTGCGCTCTTCCCGGGCGAGGCAGATCAGTCGCCGGCTTCTGGACGGCCGCTCACTGCGGCTGCTGGCTACACATGGTAGCCCATGGCAACCCACTGCCACAGGGGCTGCAGCCTACGCCGTCGCCGGCGACTCATGGCAGCCCAGCTCCAGGTTGAGCTGTTGTTCAGCATCTTAGCTGTGGAGGGCAGTGTCACTGGCCCTCATATGTGGGATCCGAACTGGGTCCCTCTAGCGTCCCAAGCCAGTTCTTAACCATCGCGCCTCTCGGCGAGCCCAACCCAATATTTTTTAACCTCTCATTTATATACTTGCTGTGTGCTGTTTAACTGCTAATATAATGAGACTACACATAGCATATTTATTTGAGACTCAGAGACAAAATCTCTTCCTTTTTAGGAAGTTATTTAGAGCTTATCTCTGCTCTGCACCCTTCTGGGCACTTGGAAATAGTTTATACAGATTAATATCCCATAGGCTCCCCATGGTACTGCATTCATTTTCTTTTCTTTTTTTTTTTCCTCTTTTAGCTGAGCCATCCTGCCACCTGTTGGCAGCTCAGCGGCAACTCAGCTCGGGATGGAACTCGAACCACTGTCTGCATTCATTTTAAGCGGCCCATAAATTTTTTTTGAATGAGACATAGATTTCTACATTTTGAGTCTAGTGTTTCACAGGCTCTGAAAATTGCCAGATGGTCCTAAGTGAACTAGCAATACATTATTTTTTACTGCCATCATCAGGAATATTAGATAGGAAACCTGTTTAAAAGTGGTATTTTCAACACAACCATTTGGGGTTTTGTTTTTTTTTTAGATATGGACGGAACACACTTATTCAGTTTGAAGACTTTGGAAATCATAATGCATTCAGGTTCTTGAGAAAATACCGAGAAAAATATTGTACATTCAATGATGATATTCAAGGTAAAGCAAAAAAAACTAGGATTTTGATTCGTACCTTTTAAACCCTTTTTATATGACCATTTAAAATTTTTAACGTCTTTATTTTTCTTACAGGGACTGCTGCAGTAGCTCTAGCAGGACTTCTTGCAGCAGAAAAAGTTATCGGCAAATCCATCTCAGAACACAAAATCTTATTTCTTGGAGCAGGAGAGGTGAGTTTTTGTAAGCTTTTTAGAATTTAAAGCCAACACTGTTTAGAACTGGAAATTGGGGCATAATGAGCTTATAACTTTACTGAGATAGATAGATCTTATAATTCAAGATCTCTCTTGTAAAGTGGGTAATTTAAAATATGTGTAGGGACTATCACAAAGAATCAACTTTCGTGTGATTTATAAAGGAAGAATAAAGCAACAATTCCTCATAACATAAAACATTCATATATAAAGTAATTCTAGCATTGCATCATACTCTAGTCTTTACTTTTTAAATTTATGTTTTGTTGGACAGGCTGCTCTTGGAATTGCAAATCTTATAGTTATGGCTATGGTAGAAAATGGCCTCTCAGAAGAAGAGGCACAAAAGAAAATTTGGATGGTTGACAAGTTTGGTTTATTATTTAAGGTAAGGTATTAAAAACTTGGAGAAGCAAAAGAATGTTGTTATAATGATATTTTTAGTTTGATTTTTAAAATATCAGTTCTTAAAATCTTATATCTCACTAGACTATCTAAATTGCACCAGTTATGGACCTTCTAGTATATTCTCAACAGAAGTCCTCTAGTCTCAAACTTTTGTCTTTTATAAAGACTCTTGTGTCATATTCAAATCATAATCTCTTTATTGGCACCAGACTTATTCTTTCTTGCTTTGTTCTCTGAGTCTTAAAAAATCAAATAGTCGTACAAATAAGATTGTACTTGACCTTTCTAAAACTAGGTTTTTAATGGGAACTCAGAAGTTTCTAGTCAAAGTTTTAGCAGTATATCTGATATTTGAGCATAACACTTACTTTTCATTTGTATCTTTGGAGCAAGCTTATCTAAGGTACCTTGCTTCAGTTCTGAAATCATTTCTTCTTAATTACTACCAATATTCTATTAGGACAAAAAATGAAATGAAAAAGTGTGTGAGTGAAAAATCTTGAGTGCTTCAATTATATGTAATGTAGAGTAACAGTCGTTTAAAATACACCAGACAGTGTGCGAAAACTTTACATGTATTATTTCATTCAATCTTCTCAAAAACCCAATGGAATTTTACAGAGGAGGAAACTGAAGTTTCAAAAGGTCAGGTGACTTTTCCAAGGTCATCAGCTTATAAGTGATCGAGGTAGGATTCATATCCAAGTAGCCTATGAAGCCAGTGCTCTTAACCATTCACCTGAGCTCCCTTTCAAGGGAGCTATAAACTGTTGTTTTTGCTTGTATATAAGATGCAAGGATTATAACACATCATACTGTTAAAAGGCTATTGGGGATATGTATTTTTATTGGTACACAATTAATTTGGTGCTTTTTGTGATGTTGGTTTTCACAGATGTTTTGTGATTTTTTAATCATGCTTGCAACACATCAGGTCTAGAATGAATATATTATTGGTTAGCACAAGTGAGAATCCCCTGTTCATCTGCAGGTTCAGAATATTTTCCTCTTAGGCTGTGCACGTAGCTTGATCTACAATATATATAGATTTTAGGCTTCCAATCTCTCCTGGTGACTCAAAACACTGCCCTCATTTTTGAGACTTTGAGAGTTTCCTGTTGAACCACCATATTGGAGAGCTGTGGGCCTCCTGGAGATGAGCATGAAAAGCCATTATTCTGACAAACTGGATCTGGTGAGGTTGTGTTTCAATCCTTTAATTAATTTCCCAGCTAACCGATGATGCTGTGCAAGTTTTCTCAGCCCCTGCTGGTTTTCCTCTGGGATTATTCTGGAGCTCTGATGGAAAAATGCACCTTTGCAGGGGATGTCTTCTCTTTTGCCAAAATAAGGATATAGATTTCTCAGACTGGTTAGTTTTTGCATCCCATAGTTTTTGCCTGCTTTAAATTGTTGAGAAATTCTTCATTGTTCTAGTTTGTCACTGGTCCCTCTCCTGGCTTTGTGGCACTACTAAGGATTTTTTTTTTTTATAGTTTTGACCAGGGACTTGGGGAGGAAAGCATTTTTCTTCAGAATTCCCTGCTCCTCTTGTTTCTGAACTCTTGAAATCCTGAAAGCTCTGAAATCCCAGTTTTTTCCTGAAATTCTGAAATTCGTACAAATCTGACTGACCTGAACTTACCAGGTTATTTGTAGTCTTAGCCTTTTGTATTTGGTGTGACTGTAAGTTTTGTTCAGTGGTAGGGTACCCATTGGGAGGTATTTGTAACATTTGCTCTATTACCATAATACATTTCTAAAATATAAGAAAGTTTAAATTTCAAAACGCATCAAGCCCAGATAAAGGATTGTAGGCCTTTGTGCCATATTGGATTTAGGAGAACTTCAGAGTAAATGAGTTTTTGAGAGGGATTAGAAATTTTCTGGTTATAAATGGGGTTTATGTTTTCTATTTGGCTTTATGGACACTATGAAAATACAATTAGAGGAGATGGGTTGAAGAGACAAGTAAATGAAAATACATTCCTATTGTAGAAGCAGTGTAACTCATAATGATGTCTTTTCAGTTAATTCTCAATAAGCATTTTTCAAAACATACTGTATTTTATGTAAAAATTCAGGGGCGGAAAGATAAAATAGACAGTCATCAGGAACCATTTGCTCACTCAGCTCCAGGGAATATACCTGATACTTTTGAAGATGCAGTAAATATCCTTAAGCCTTCAGCTATAATTGGTAAGTAACATTCACAAATCATTCTCTTCAGTGTTGCCGATCTTAACTACATGCAGGATTATTAAGGAAATGATAGACTTTACCTAACTTTCAGCATATATGATGTTTTCTATGATAGCTTTTTGGTTACAGTGTGTCAAGTTCAGTTCATGGATGTTGCTTGTATTTTTTTTTTTTTTAGCTGAGCCATCCTGCCACCTGTTGGCAGCTCAGCGGCAGCTCAGCTCCCACCGTGAATCGAACCGGCAACCCTGTTGCTCAGAGTTCACACTCTTGAGCGAGCTCTTAACCAACTGAGTCACTCGGCTGGCCTGTTGCTTGTATTTTTAAGTGCTAGAAGCTATGGGATCAATTATGCTTGGCTTTTAGAGTTGGTGTGACTGTTGGGCTTAAAACCTGAAAAAAGATGAAGGTCATTTGACAGACTGGACCAAGAAAATCCTCTGCAGAGTCAAAGATTTTCATTGGCAACAAAACTGAAAGCTTTTAGTACGTTTTGAGAGTCAGGCATTGTATAGCTGATGTGAGACTGCCCCAACATGGCATTTAGTTCATAGCAGGAAATGTAACAGTCTGTAAAAGAGGAGCTATTTCATTTCCTATACAGCTGTAAGATTTGAATCTACATTTTTTTCTTTTTATCAGTTTCACGTAGGAGCCTTATTGAACGTTAAATAGTAAAATAGTCATAAACAGTCAAGTTTCTAAGGTCAGGAAAAGTATGTCTCTATTAACTTCTTCATTGATTAGAGCTCATAGCTTTTAGAGAAAGAAGAAATCTTAAAGATCATCTAGTCTAACAATCTGTCCACTGATTCCATCCCAGGAGGGTCAAGGAAACAAAGAGGAAAAAAAATTCCTTTAGAATTTATGGACTCCTAAGAATATGTCTATGAAGCTCCACCTGGAGAAACACTGAATATAAATTCCTTTTTCACATGAGAAAAACAGGCCCAGAGATGTTAAGCAACTTGCCCAGGAGTGACAGCAAGCACTAAAACTGGTCTCCAGCCAGATCAGCATTTTTCTTTATTACATAACAATTTATAAGATGAGCTTAAACATTATTTGACTGTTGAATATGAGTCTTCTTAGTGGATGTACTGGATAAGTTCTTAGCAGAGGCATCACTAAGTCATTCCCGTACTCCCAATTCCTGCCAAGTGTTCTTCCTCCATGATGTGCTTCCTTTAGCACTGCATACTTAGCTCCTGTTACAGGTTTCCTGATTTTCTCTTTACTTTGTCCCTTGTCTCTTAACTACAAGGTGCCTGTATTATAATCCTTTTTGTGTCCTAATGGCCTGAGACAGTGTCTGAGACATTGTAGGGGCTTAATAAAAAGCCATTACACTGAACTGTAAGCAAGAAAGTGGATTGCTTTAGTCAAGATGATCTGTTGTCGCTTCTGAATTCCTATTTTCTAACAAGTACCACAGAGTTTAACAGTTTAACCCTTGAGTTGCAAGTTTTTAATCTTCTTTTATTGAATTCATAATTGTAAAATACACAAAACATAAAATTGGCCATCATAACCATTTTTTCACTGTACAGTTCAGTAGTGTTGAGTGCGTTCACGTTGTTGTGCAACCACCCATTCCAGAACTTGTTTTATCTTGCAAAACTGAAACTGTGCCATTAACAACTGCCAGTCCCTGGTAACCACATCCTACTTTCTGTATCTACGAATTACTTGACAACTTCATATAAGTGGGATCATACAGTATTTGTCTTTTCGTGAGTGGTTTATTTTGCTTAACATAATATCCTTAAGGTTCATCCATGTTGTAACAAGTTTTATCTTCCTAATTAGACATAGCAGTGGAGATAGTCTTACCTTCTTTTTTATTTTCCACAATTTACTATATCTGGGATGGACAGTAAATACTTCAGTGAAAACCTAGCATTTTAATGTCTTTCCTTTCAGTTTTTGAGATTGTGTTCCCATAGCACTATCTCAGCAATGCAGAGTCAGTCTTTGTGATGGGAGTTAACCGGTGCTTTTGTTATGTTGAACCTACTCTAAAAATGCTGCTGATAAGAATGGCTTTATTTTACCTGTAATGAAATTGCTGTTTTCCCTCTTCTTTATTACAGGAGTTGCAGGAGCTGGCCCACTTTTTACTGCGAATGTAATCAAAGCCATGGCTGATATCAATGAAAGGCCTATAATATTTGCATTAAGTAATCCTACAGCAAAGGCCGAGTGCACTCCTGAAGAAGCGTATACGCTTACAGAGGTATGAATCAGTAATCGTTGAGTGAATTGGTTATGTCTATTTTTTCCCCCTCTGTTAACCTGTTGGTTATACATTCTTGCATAATTCTTTTCATGAATACTGTGGAGATTACAACTTACGTCCATGGATCATCAAATTCTGATATAAATTATTGCTTGTAACATTTCTGGAAACTAATTACCCCCATGTTAGCTCTATTTTAACAAATAGACAATTTTTTCTTTTTTTCATTGAATGTATTTTTCATTCTCCTTTTCTCATTGTTAAACAATTTTATTTTACATATATAGTCTCTCAAAATTCCTTTTGCTTCTATATCACCACTCTGTGTTAGTCAAAATAAAGTCTCTTGAATATTGGTTTCCAACAGTTATAATAATTATTGAAATTTTTTCTTTTGTAAGCATCCTCAAAGTCAGCATATAGATATCAAAATAGAAAGTGGTCTCTTCAGTGTACTGTCTTAACCTTTTACCAAAGTATGGTATTACTTTTAGCCTGAGTGCGCATCCTGTTCATCATTCTTTGCTACTTGAGACTAATGGCTGTTGCCCCCCAAATTAAATCTTAGTCTTATACAATGACTATTGGATAAATACACTCAATGTATCATGACTTTGGCATTTCTAAAATACAAAAATATTTAAACGTGTTGAGCAATAGTATGTCACCAGAAGACTGTTCAAACTTTTAAGAATTTTATTTTTTGAAAAAATAAATATGTTTGTAATATATGTACATTATTAGAATGAATAAAAGCTCCCCAAGGAGACTAGTTTAATGTACTGTTTTACCAGTTTTGAGATGAAACTTCTTTCACCATTTAACTTTGAAATTGTGTTATCTCTTCAAGGTGATAAGAAAGCATTGTATGATTTAATTTTATGTAATTTCTTTCTTAGTGTTACATAAAATAATAGCATATACAGAGGGTGCCAAAAAAATGTATACACATTTTAAGAAAGGAAAAAACTATTAAAATTGTAATAATATATACCAATAACAAAAGATGAATGCAAGTCATGTGTATACATTTTTTTGGCACTCCTGGTATTTATGTATTTGAAGTCACCTCTTAAATTTTTAGTCTCCCTTTGTTTTCATAGAGAGATGTCTTGGTGTTACTCTTGAACAAGGTAACATGCCATTTTTTTCTGGGGTTGATAGTGTAGTGTAAGATCTGGTGTTGATAGTGTAATGCCCCTTTCCTAAACTACCTGACTGGGGGGCACATTATAGCATAACAGAAAAAGACCAGAGCTTTGGAGTTATAAAAATCTGGATTCCAGTTCAACTGCTACAATTATGATATGTGACATTTTACAAAGTACTTGGAAATAGCTAGGCTTTAGTTTTCTGATTTTATTTTTTAGATGAAATGGAGATAATGATAACCTCATAAGGTTTTTATGCAGGCTAAATTAGCCTAGTTAACATAGAGAAAGCCCCTAGTACAGAGCCAAAGACAGCAGATGTAAATGGTTGCAGTTTAATTTTTGATGTTTTCACCCTCATTCACAGATGTTTACATCAATCTTTAGTACTTGGGATGGTATTTATTGGCCATCTACATTTTTAAATTTTTTAAAAGGAAATAGAAGTGTCAGGTTTTAAAAAAATTTTTGATGGACAATTTTCAACTTTATTCGAATGTCTATTATGCATAAACCTCATTCTAATAAGGATTTTAATGCAACAATTATGTTATATAGTAAATTATGTTTGTTTGCAAGTAATGTATTGGGCTACTTTGCTATAGAATTCAATTTCGTTTGAGTTTACCTCAATTTTCTAGTCCACATAAAGTAACAAAATCGTTATTTCATTTCTTGACAGGGAAGGTGTTTGTTTGCCAGTGGCAGTCCATTTGGGCCAGTGACACTCAGCAATGGGAAAGTGTTTACGCCAGGTCAAGGAAACAACGTATATATTTTTCCAGGTAAATGCCACTATTATTTATGTTATAGAGTAATCATTAATTCTATATAAATACTTCGTGAATAGAATTTAAGATTAAAATGAATAGTAGTATTTATAGGATTTTGGTATGAATGTACAGAGAAACTCAGGGAATTCAGCAAATCCAACTTCCTCTATTTCCTCTGAAAATTTATTTGTTCATATTTTTCATTAAATTTGTTTTATTACAGAAATAATGTATTACATGGTTAATAAAAATGCAAAAGAAGCAGAATGTTATAAAATTATTTAACTCTTTATCTTCCCTTGGTACCTCCTTATCACAGTTCTCAACTGTAACTAATCTCAGTAGTGAAATATAAATAATAGTTCTTACATACCTTCTAATACCTTGCTGCTTTTACCTCTCAATTTGTGTTATTTTTACATTACTACTTTTAGTTTTCCTAGTAGTTACCTTATTATAACATACTTAAAGAGCTTTTGTTAACAACTTATTAGCTTGCCACAGTGAAAAATGAAAAAGTGTGGTGTTTAGCTTTCTTCTCTCTTCTTAGTCCATCTCTTACTTTGGGTTAGTTAATAGTTCTCATTGTAGAGAAGGGTTTTTTGACGTTTATGTTGTGTTCTGTTGCCTTCCCTGCTTTATCTATGGATTGATTCTGAAATTACATGATCATGTAAATATAATTCACCATCTAAATGAGAGTGTGACTTGATAAATACAGAATATGTAATTCTATATCATAAAAATTCAGTAAGCTCAGTGAAACCCACACAGGATAAATAAAAAAAAAATTCCCCATCTGAGAACATCAACTGTGAGGCTTCAGAAATAGCAACGAGATGACTATGATGAATGCAGTCAGAGCAAAAAGCTTTCCTTAAGAGAGCAATTGTTAAACTGACCACTGACACCTCAACAGCAGTGAGATGCCGCAGGCAGTGAAATGATTTAAGTTGCTTATACAAAACACTTCCCAAGCTAGAGTTCGTTACACAGTGAAAATATCTTTCAAGGATTAAGGCAAAATGAAGACATCTTCAGAAAAACAAAAACATAGAGGATTCGTATCTACAGACTTATAAGAAAGGAAAAGAAATTTTAAAGAGTGTTCCTTAGGGTCAAGATGGTGGAGTAGGTAAATGCTATGTTCACCTCCTCCCATGACCACATCTAAATTACAACTAAAGTATAGAACAACCACCCTTGAGAACCACCCAAAGCCTATCTGAACAGAAGTTCTGTAACTAAGGATATAAATAAGAAGCCACGTCAAGACGGGTAGGAGGGGTGGAGATGTGAAATGGGCTGGTCCCACACCCACTTGTGGCTATTGGGAGTCGGGAGGGATATCTCGGCTGTGGAGGCCCCCACTGAGAAGCAAGGGGTCCCAGCCCCACACTGGGCTTTCCAGCCTGGAGCACCAATGCCAGGAAGAAGTGTTCCCACAACAGCTGACAGTAAAAATCAACAGGGAGTCAGTCTGAGTGAGTTGGATGGCTGCTGTAGACCCAGGCATCCTCTTAAAGGCCCCGAGCACAGACTCCATCACAGACACTCCTCATAAGCACAGAGAAGAAACAGGAGCTCAGGAAGTGCCAGGGACATACAGGGAGAAACGGAATTACCTGGCTTCAGGGCGAGGACTGAAGGAGTAGCTCTCCTGTGACTAAAGTGCCAGCAGGCTCCATTGTTCCTTTGGTGAGCCCTCTCCCCAGACATCCTGCAGGTACAAGCGGGAAGGGGGTACAAATCTGCGTCTCCATTAACCTGGATAACACCACTGTCGCCTCACCCTAGTGATTCTTCTCTGAGATCCTGCCCCACCCAATTCACTTTCCCAGGTGAACCTCTTTTTGACCCCAGTTCACACAAACCACCTGGCCTGAGCCACCCTGTAGCCTTTCCTAAAATATCTCAAAGGTCCACAAACCCCAAACAGGCAGTGGCCCCAATCCCAGCACTAGTGGCATTCAGCCTCGGTTTACTGCATAACCACTCCCTGGTGCCTCCAAGTCCAACACAGGCAGCTACCAACAGCAGATCTCTTTGTAGCTCCTACCAGGTGGCCTCAGGCCAGACACAGGCAGCAGCTGACCATGGCTTGCACTGGAGCCCATCCCAAGAGGTTCCCGGACCAACACACGTGGTGGCTGGCTTCAGACCACACAAGAGCACCACCCAATTAATGCCACAAATGACACGCCCAAAGGTGGACTGGGCAGGCACCACAGCACCGCTAAAGTGAATCCCGCTCTGTGAGGTCAGCCCCTGCACAACAGCTTGTCCTGTGCAGTCATGGCCAGTCCTCACAGCCCGTCAGCCTGAGGATCAGTCCCACCCATTGACAAGCCAACAGTAATTAAGGCTCACCTACAATAGGAGGGCACATACAACCCACACAAAGGACACCCCTGGAGCACGCAGTCAGGTGACCAGGGATCCTGAGCCACTGGGCCCCACAGGACAGCTAATACGGCCACTCTGCCAAGACGGTGATGTAGCAGATCTACCTAATACATAGAAGCAAACACAGGGAGGCAGCAAAATGAGACAAGGAAACATGTCCCAAATGATAGAGCAGGACAAAACTCCAGACAAAGAGCGAAACAGAAAGGAAGCAAGCAATTACCAGATGAAAGTTCAAATCACGGGTTGTAAGGATGCTCAAGGAACTTCGGGGAAGAATAGATGATCTCCGTGAGAACTTCAACAAAGAGATAGGAAACAAAAAAGGAGATACAAAGCATAAAAAAGAAATAGAAATGAAGAATATAATAACTGACATGAATATTAGAGGGAATCAACAGCAGATTAGATGAAGCAGAGGATCGAATCAGCTATTTGGAAGACAGTGTAGTGGAAAACAGCCCATTGGAACAATAAAAAGGAAAAAAAATTTTTTAAATGAAGGTAGTTTAAGAGACCTGGGACAACATCAAGCATAATAATATTTGCATCGTGGGGTACCAGAGAAAGATGAGAAGAGCAAGGGATTGAAAACCTATTTGAAGAAATAATGACTGAAAACTTCCTTAAGCTGGCAAAGAAAATAGACATAAAAGCCCAGGAAGCTCAGAGAGTTCCAAACAAGATGAACCTAACCAGACCCACACCAGGACACATCATAATTAAAATGCCAAATCTTAAAAGCAGCAAGAGAAAAGCAGTTTTACTTGCCTACAAGAGAGCACCCATAAGACTGTTAGCTGATTTCTCAATAGAAACCTTGCAGGTCAGAAGGGATTGGCACAAAATATTCTAAGTGATAACAAGTAAGGACCTACAACCAAGACTACTCTACTTAGCAAGGCTATCATTTAGAACTGAAGAACAAAAGAGCTTCCCAAACAAGAAAAAACTAAAGGAATTCATCACCACCAAACCAGTATTACAAAAAATGTTGTAACAAGTGTTGATAAATTGTATTCATTTGTAATTTTGACAAATGTAAAAATAAATTGAGAAAAAAATGTATGATATTTCTAAAATGATTTCTTCTGATAAATAAGAATTGTAACAGTTAACAAAGATCATTTGTAACTCTCAGATTTCTGTTTTCTCTTGGTTGCTTTGTTTTTTGGGGGGGTTGGTGTTTTGATGGGGGCAGGTTACCATTAAATTACTTTAAATATAGGAATTTATTTGGCTTCTTTCACAATTTAAAAAGTGACCTTACTAAATAAACGATTTAAAATCTTTTCTAGGCGTGGCTTTAGCTGTTATTCTTTGTAACACTCGGCATATCAGTGACCATGTTTTCCTAGAAGCTGCAAAGGTAAATGTTTTAAATATTGTTTGATGATTTTATAAAGAATGAATTAACTAAGGTTAAAAGCAAAGAGAAAAAGAGAGAATGGGTTAAATCTGCTTTATGAATGGAAAGGAAGTTATTCATCCATTGCTTTTTTGATTTGCCCACGTACTTTTGCATAAAATTATTTTTTTAATGATTTTTCAAATGTCTGATGGTAAGCTATGAATCCTTTCATATTTATAACACATCTGAACATGTATTATATATTTCTGAAGGTATATTGTGCTATCATAGATAAGATATAACCCCTTTCATTTTTTTAAAATGTCAGTTACTGGCCCATTGGCATGTTGGCCCATGAGAGCTCCAAATTTTGCAATGTAAGTTTTGAAGCACTCACATTAATACAAATATTAATGTCTATTTTCATAGTAGCTGTGGTAATTATGCCAAATTCTCTATGTTAAGTAGAATATGCCAGTAAGCCTTTAAATCTGGTTATTTCTTTATTGTTTAGTAGCGAACAGTTTTAATTTCTGCAGTGTAAGTGTATTCCTGGTAGAAATAAAGAGAGCTATATTACCTGCTCCCCCAACGCTTTTTCTATTTTATTAGGTCTCTATTATTCTGTGTTACTTAAACAAACGAGTAAAATGTCGTTTTTCTCTTCAGGCACTGACAAATCAATTGACAGATAAAGAGCTGGCTCAAGGGAGACTTTACCCACCTCTTGCTAATATTCAGGAAGTTTCTATTAACATTGCTATTAAAGTAAGTAATAATTTATACTTCACATAAATTTTAATGGCATTTTGTTATGTAACAAGTTTATTGGAGAAAAATTTGAAACATTTAGAGGGTGCAAAGAAGAAATTGTAGATCACCTGTATTCTTTCTACCAGAATATAATCCACATTATTTTGGGTTTTTTTGGCTTTCTCGGCTGTACGTACATATGCATACACATGCACGGTCTCTTGTGCCTATTTTTATGGTTGGTTCTCACTGCACTTTTTTTCATTTAATATATTGCAAGCCTTTTCCCATGTAAATCAGTAATTCTCATGTGTGATCATTAATGCTGCATGGAATTCTCTGATATTGTATCATAATAGTTTAACCATTTCTCTATTTTCAGATAGTTAAGTGTTTTTTGTTTTGCTAGAAGTAATATTGTAGTGAACATCCTTAGATAAGTCTTTGTGCATTTGTGTTTGTTTTTCCTTAAGATAAATTTCTAATCATAAGGGCAAAGGTATTGACATGCTAAAGCTTCTGATACATATTGTCAAATATTCAGAAAAAAAGTACTGATATACGTCACACCTTTAGATAGGAGTTTATCTGTTTTCCCACACCTTTGTCAATACTTAGAATTATTTTTTTTAAATCTTGCATATTTAATAGGTGAAAATTATATTTCATTTTTATTTAAAGCATTTGTTTTTAGATTGAAGAATTCTCTGTTTATTGAAAAATCATATTTTTTCCTGTGAACTGCCTATTCCTGACCTTTGCTTGTTTTTATATTATGATAATTGTGTTTCTGCTTTAAAATACTAATTTATAAGAGTTTCTTTATTTAAGGGTAGTGATCCTTCTGTTTGCTATGGTGCAGGTATTGTCCCGTTTGTCATTTATTTTAATGTGGAATTGTTTGATGTGACATTTTCAAAAGCTGTTTCATAGAGTGATCTGTTAATTTTATGGATTGTTTCCTCGTCTTGTATCAGTGTTAAAGCCTTCTCCCCCTCCAAAATTATATAAATATCTACTTGCATTTTCTAATAACATATATTTTTTTAAACTGGGTAAAACCATTTTATAAACTGACCAAAGCACTTCATTTTGTTTTCTGATTTGAGGTAAAACCATTAAACACAGTTCACAAGAAAATACAGTGAAAATACTATTCAGCTACAATTACAAGAGTTTGAAACCTCACTAGTTGTTCATATACTTTTACAAATTCATACAACTATACAGTCTACTTAAGCTAACTTTGTTGTTAACCAAAAGACCAATATCAAAGACCTAGACATTTTACTGTGATTCTTGCAATGGCTATAGTTTTGTGACAACAGAAGAGTAACTGTTACCTTATGAATATACTTCACTTCTTCAGAAACCATTTGGCTACTGATGTGTAGTGTTTCCTCATTCTTCGGGGGGCAGGAAGGGGTGTGTGTGAAGGCTCTCAGATGAGCAAGCACCTGTTATACATGCCCCTCTCATGTCAGATTGTGAAAAATAACCATTGCCCCACCATGAATATGGGGATTGGGAAGATAGTCCTAGTCTTCTTTATGCATTTAGGTTTTTAGGCAAGCCAGTTGATTTTTCCCCAAAGCTTACTTTTGAATGTTCAGACCCTGTTTTAATCCTCACTATAGATTACTATGTTAGTGAGGGTGTCTTGGGGGTTGAGGGAGGACAATGATGCCTTTTTGAAACATTTAATGTATTTTTTTCCAACTAAGCCCAGCTTTGAAATTTCACTTTGTTACTGGACACTTCTGTTGCATCAATCAATACTGAAGCCTTTGGGATACTGCAGATTTGCTTTAGAGGTAGATGAAACAAATCATGCAGCTAAGTCAATTGAGAAATAAGAAATTTGTTATCTTTAGAGAATATCATGACTAAAAGTTGATCCTTTGTTCTTGGTGCTTTGCACATTTTACATTTTTACCTGTTTGAGGGAAATACCCAAGTCTTATCATAAAACTTCTTAATTCTTTTGAGATTTATTTTAGTGTATGATATGAGACATATTTTTTTCTGAGTAGTTAACCAGTTGCCCTACCACCAGTTGATTGAGAATACGCCTGTTAACATAAGATCTTTGAATCTATTACTGGGAGTCTGTTCTTGACCATATTTGTCTATCATTAGGCACTGTTTTAATTATTATAGTATGTATAAAGTATATTATTTGATACTATATATTTCCCATCATTATGGTTTTTCAGTCTGTTCTGAGCTGTATTCTTTTGGGTGAATTTTTGTATCAGTTTTTTGAATTTGAAGAAAACCCTGCAACTCTGTATAAAACTATGTCATATTTATAAATTAAATAGGTAAAATTGAGTCTTTCAGTATTGACTCTTCCCTGTTCAATGTCTCTCTCCACTTATTTCTCTTTTTTTAAGTCTTTCAATATAATTCTGTTGTTTTCTTAGTCTTAAATGTGGCTTGTCTCATTACTGTTTTCCTAGATATTTAAAATGTTTGTGATTGTTTATAATGAAGGTTTTCTTTCCATATATGTTCCTTCATTGGTCATTTCTAATATATAGAGAAGGTGTTAATATTTATGACTTTACTTGATAACCAGTTTCTCTGTTTAACAATTTTGATTCTTTTAATAGTTTCTCAGTTAATTCTTTGGGAATTGTTGAGTTTTGAATTATCTGCAAATAGTTGCTTTTTAAAAATATGTATAGCTCTTCCCCTTCCAACCCTCCCCCATCTACTAAATTAGTTGATATTTAAGAGCATTTTTAAGTAATTGGGTTGATAAGGGCATCCTTATATTTTAATATTATATGCGATGCTAGCTTTTGGTTGAAATAAGTATTTTTTTAAATCTTTTTAAAGAAGCAGGCTTCTATTCCTACTTTACTAAGATTTTCTTAAACATCAGGATTAGATGTAAAATTCATCAACCATATTTTTGACTCGTACTCTGATGATCATAAGATTTTATCCCTTTGACTCTTAATGTTATTGTTGCATTATTTTAATACTCATAAACTAAGCAAAGATTGGGATTTGGTAAAGGGTGACATGTTTAGGAAATAGTGAGCAAACCAATTGAACTGGAGTCTAAGGTGTATGGGTAGGAAAATGGCATTAGACAAGATTTGAAAGTTATCTTAAATTTGTACAGACATACAAATGCCAGACTGAGGATTCCGAATACATTACTAGTGTAAAACAGCTGAAGATTTTAGAGCCCAGAACTAGCATGAGTAGAGGTCAGCTTTAGAATTTATAGAATGATACTACAGGTGGGACAGATTTTGGAAGATAGCAGTCAGTTGAGAGATTACAGGTGTGTCCCAATGAAAGGTGATACATGAGGAAATAGGAGATCTATGCTAGGGGTTGGTATTGGAGCATAGCCTCATGTGCACATCTCTTCCCCCTTTGCTGGGGTAGAGAATTTGCTCCTTTTCCATTGGTTTAAGGCTTTCCTTTTTAGAAGCAAGGGATCAAGAGAGTAGGCAGTGCTTTGTATCTGTCCCCTACCCCAACCCACAGCCACTGACCATCTCCATAGCCACCAGCCACCTCCTGCATGCCCGTAGGACCAAGGAGAACTCTATCTCATGCCTTGCTCCCATTCTTTATTTTCTACAATAGAGTAGAAAATAATTGAAACACGTTTTCCATCACAAAATATAGTGAGATTGAGCTCCTGGAACCAAGGATTATTTTAAGTTAAAATAAAACTATAACTTGAATTTACTGTGACAAACAGGCACTATGCGACCCTGAGAGGAAGCTTTTCACACTACTTCATTTTACATCAGAACTTCAGTTCAGAGGGTTTAGCCTCACCTTCAGCCATGGTGTGTGGCCTGGTTACAGAGATCAGCAATTCACTGAAGCCAGTGTAGGTGGGAAGTAATCTAGCTCAACTGTGTAGGATCTGGGATCTAGATTCAGAATGCTTTGGGGTTGAAAAACAGCTCATCTAACTACCTCAGGCATGTTACTTGAAACTCTTCATGCTTTGGTGTCCTCAGCTGTAAAATGAGAATAATAATAATGATGATGATGATGATGATGATAATAATAATAGCACTTACCTCATACGGTGCTTGTGAGGATTAAATGAGATATCCATGTAAAGTGCATAGAACATGCCTGGCACTCAATGATGGTTAGTCGCCATGTATAGGTTCTAGCCCTAACTTTATTTGACCTTATAGTTCTAGTGTCCAACCCCTGCTTTATAATGGTTTCTATGTCTCCTAATCCAAATTCGAGAGCAAAGCATCTGGCTTACTTTGGGTTAGGTTTTCACCCCAGTCCAGTCAGCTGTAACTAGGAAATAGAGTCTCTTACACACTGTTTCAGCAGGACTGCTGGGGAAGGGGACATGGGCTGGCCAGATAGATCTACGGAACTGACACACAGCAGAGCTTAAAATTGTTTGTTGTATTAAAGTGTTAAACAAATGTCAATAATTCAGGGTGGGGGTCACGTTAAACACGTCAAATTTATGGTAAAATGTCAGATGGTTTTTATTTCATCTTTTAAAATTTTGGTAGTTTACAGATGTTTTGAAATGAGTCAAAGTCATGTTATTTTTTATTTTGAAACAAGGAAAATGCCATTCTTTTAAATTCATTTCTTTGTGTTTTAATAGTACGTTTTCTCTTGAATAGGTTTATATGCAGAGCCTACACAATAATCTTGTTTTATTTTCCAGGTTACAGAATACCTATATGCTAATAAAATGGCTTTCCGATACCCAGAACCTGAGGACAAGGCCAAGTATGTGCGAGAACGATTGTGGCGAAGTGAGTACGACTCCTTGCTGCCAGATGTGTATGACTGGCCAGAGACTGGAGCAAGCCCTCCTCTAATACCGGAGTAGAAGCATCCTCTGATAAATACTTTCCATGCTTCAGGGAACCGTTTTCTCAGACAAAAAGATAGTATCCTCATATTTATGGGGGTTTTTCCTGTGTGTCATCCTCCCCTACCGCTTTGCTTGACCTCTTTTTCCCCATGAATCTACACTTCTGTAGAAGATAGATGTGTTGACGGCATTGTTAATGCCCACGCTGCCATCAGATAACCGAAATGCTTTCATTCTGATTTGTAGCTCATCCATATCAAAGAGATGTTAAAAATGTATTTGTACACGTCTTCACTCGTGCTCTTGCTCACGCTTGCCAAAGTATTTGCTGTTTACTATGACAGGTAATAAACTTTTCTCACCCAGCTCTTATAGGGTTACTAAAATAGAAACTTACTTCTGTGGCGATGAGCACAAATGTTGAGAAAAAGTCAAATTTAACCAAACTCCAGGGACAAATTGTCAGTATCTAAAAATGTTCTTTTATTTCTTCCTCATGCTCTGAAATTCCTTGCCAGTAGATAAAACAAGAGAAATATGAAAAATCTACCCTATTATTTATTTCCCGGAACTAAATTGAGACTTACTATAACATGGTGAGCGAGAAATGGGAACTGCTGCTGCCTTTAGACAAATAAACAAAATAGTCATTGTTTTCAACAGTGTATAAAAATCATGTAACTTTTTTATTTAATAAAGGTAATATCTTAAATTTAATTGCTTCAATTATGCTATTTTATTGCCCAACTAGAAAGTTAGGTTTGCTTATCATGAAAAACACATATTTTTTTAAATTTCTAGTTGATTCTAAGGAGGCGGTATAGGATACTTAATGCATAAATTATGACTGACATCATATGACTTTTAACAAATTAGTCATATGTTTCACATCTAAATGAGTTATATTTAACTGAAGAGGTTATACCCCTATTCCAATAGTGATGCTCTTTATTATTTGAGATAATTTTGGAATGTTCCTTTTGAGTCATTTTTTTCAATATCATTAGTGACAACTCTTTCTCCATTGAAGATGGATTTAAGTTTTTGAAGCCACCAAAATTAATTTAGAGCTAAGTGGGGATGAATAAGGTAGGTGTTCAGACCATGTTTAATGGTCCATTTTTGTGCCATTTTTAATCCCAGTAAAATGGGTAATAATTGGCTAGTGAGACCAGTAAAATGGGTAATAATTTTATGTGGATTACATATTGGAGAGTTCTAAAGGAAAAGCCAAAATCATTTTGAAAAATAGTAGTGTGTATGTGCCTAACATGGTTGCTTTGAGGGAACAGAACTTTTAAATGCTCATTCTAATCAGCAGTTCTCAACCTGTGGGTCGTGACCCCTTTGGGAGTCGAACGACCCTTTCACAGGGGTCGCCGGGTACTCGTATGTGGGCGTATCTGCTTGTGGTCCTGGAGACGGATAGAGGAGCGGTGTCTTGGTTCCTAAGACCATCGAAAATATGTGTTTTCCGATGGTCTTAGGCGACCCCTGTGAAAGGTTGAGAACCGCTGTCTAGACTATTAACTACAAAAAATTATTCACAGCTCCATATCAGCACGTACGTAACTTAACATTCCTCTCCGCTGTCCTTGATATGTTAGATGTGATATTCTGTAGAGAAGTTGCCTCCAAATCACCAAGAAGCTTCTTTAAAATGCAGAGGCCTTTTCCCCTTCCTTCCAGGCCCCCTGGACCACCAGGGGCGGAGCCCTAGCAGATGTATTTTCAGCAGATCCCCTCATGATTCTGACACACACACTTGCCCTGTCCTCCCAGTCACTGCCTTAAAGCTGGCACCTGAATCATCCGAAGAACTAACCGATGCCCCCTGCTGATGCAGTGGGCCTCGGTGGGGCCCAGGATTCTGCTTTTCTGACAAGCAATCTGGTGGTGCCCAAGCTGCTGGTATGGAGAACACACTGAGGGGCATTGCTCTGGAGTATGGGGTGGGGCGCACTTGAGTGCTCGCAGAGTATGTACTTCATGTGAAAAAAGATAACTGAAATTATGTGTGTACACAGAATCAGTTTTATCTGTTTTTGCTATGGATGCTTTTTAAAGGATGTTTATAAGAACGAACATTAATACAGAACTTTTAAACATTTTTCTGAAAATACTTAACTAGAATACTGTTCAAGTCTAGATTGTGGGTTTTTAATGTACTTATTAAGTAAAACCTGGCACAACCAGTTTTCACTGATAAAAGCTTAGCTATCAAATGGATATTTGTTTCTTCTCTCTTCTTGATTGTCTTATGACATGACTTACCCTGTTCATTGTCTTTTCCTTCTCTATATTATCAGCCTCTGGAGAAATAAGATCCTACATTCTCCTTTGCAAAGGAGTTACGAATGAATTAAGACCGACGCATAATAAGTATTAAGGGTTGGGAGCATTATTTACTGCTCTCAGATAATTCAGATAACTAAGAAAGTCCAAAGGAATGGTAGGAAAGTGGGAAAAGCCTTGCCTTAGGAAAAGTACAATGAAACCTTGGATTGCGAGTAACTTGGTTTGCGAGTGTTCTGCAAGATGAGCAAACGTTTCTAAAACATTTTAACGTGGTAAACGAGCGATGTCTTGCAATACGAGTAGTTTGTTTCTGGAACTAATTATGCTTGCAAACCAAGGTATTACTGTACTTCCTTCATCCAGAGGGTCCTGTGGCTTTTTTCCAAACCCATCATCATTCAGTATCTCACAAAGATAACTTCATACTGCTGAACAGCTCCAGTGCTCTGTTGAATTACCAAAATGGAATCAACACTGTTGAGCATACGTAACACTTGAGAACATTAATATAAATCTCTCAGCTCTCTACTGGGATTCCATTTAAAGGGACTGTCCTCAAGAATAAAATAGAACCAATATCGTATTTCCATCCAAGACAAGACCACACATGTTGAGGTGCAGGCACATCGCTGACTTCACAGAAAGTGGCACAGACTCATTACCTTCTTTGGCTCGACCAATTTGTGATTTGCACTTTGATGTGCATCTAAATGTGAAAATGAGAGAAATCCTCTACAGACAAGCTAAAATAACTTTTTTAATGTTTAAAATATTCAAGATACTTTAACTACAGAAAACTTCCCCTCCCCCCCGCCATCTGAAATCAGGATAAGATGTTTTTCATGTAAGCAGAGAAAAAGCTCATGCTTTGTTTTAAATTTTAATACAACTGGGCCTAATTAAGACAATGACTCTTACTGTCTGATTCCCTTAATCTTTGCCAGGAGTTACTCAGATAAACTAGTGATTATATTTTAAAAACAATAGTTATTTTTCTTTGTTGGATAAAAAAAAATTGCCTCTCAAAGAGAAAAGTAAGTCAGAGTATGATGGAAATGTGTTCATAGTTCAGTTGCATAAAATAGACAAGTCAAATGACGAATGCTTTGTATCTTTCTGTAATAGGTTTTGCCAATAAACTTTTTCATACTTCTGTTTCATCTTGGTTTTTCCAAATAAAAACTTATTATTTGCCACTTCACTGTTTGGGAAGTTATCCCTACATTCAGCACAGTTCAAAAAATTTTAAAACTAGAGGAATTTGTGGGTATACCCCAGTTTTCAGTATATCCTTTTATGTTCTAGAAAAATTATTTTCCCTTTCCTAATTTTAAGTGTATGTTCTAGCAAGTCATTGATTCCTATGTAGTCATTGAATTAGCACCAACTTGTTAGGTATAGCAAAAACCTAGCAAATAATGATAAATTGTACGAAGCACCTGTGCCAGGTGTTGTTCTAAGCATCATACATGCGTGAGCATATTTAATCCTCACAGTCACCTGTTACTCTACCTGCTTTACAGGGAAGGACTCCAGGCACAGGGAGGCTAAACACCTTGTCCCAGGTCTCAGCTGGTGAGTGACAGAGCAGGGCCTCTTAGCCTCAGCCCCTCTCAGGGAAGAAGGGCCTCTGAAATAGGCAATTATATGAGGATCTTAAATATCTTCAACTGTTATTTCAGATGAAAATCTTCACTTATTCTTTTTTTTTTAAAGATTTTTTAAAATTTTTATTGGGTAATTGGGATAGGAACAGTGCTGGGGAATTAGGGGAAGGGGAACAGACAAGTTGCTGTCATTTTGTTCTTCAATCTAGTTGTGGAGGACGCTGCTTCACTGGCCCAAGTTGGCACCATCATTGTGCTCTTCCCTGGCGAGGCAGATCAGTCGCCGGCTTCTGGACGGCCGCTCACTGCGGCTGCTGGCCACTCACGCTGGCTGCTGGCTAGGTAGCCCATGGCAACCCACTGCCACAGGGACTGCAGCCTATACAGTCGCCGGCGACTCTTGGCAGCCCAGCTCCAGGTTGAGCTGTTGTTCAGCATCTTAGCTGTAGAGGGCAGTGTCACTGGCCCTCATATGTGGGATCCGAACCGGGGCCCTCTGGCATCCCAAGCGAGTTCTTAACCATCGCGCCACTCGGCCGGCCTTCACTTAGTCTTATAAGATTAGTCTTAGGTCCTTTTTACTGTGTTTTTTTCCAGTTCATTTGATTTTTACTTTGTTCCCATTTATAATTCAAATACAGTATTAAACTATTTTATTCAGTAGTCTCCAGCATTTAAAATATTTGATGTAAATATAAAAGATTTGGTTTTGAATGTGGTAAATTACACCAGAGATTCTTCAGTAGCCCCTTCGTTAACATCTGTTGATTTGGTAATCTTCACAGAACCACCAACTGCTATCATTTCTGGGCAGATCGGTTTCAATAGTGCTTAAGACACTTTGTGAATCTGCCAATGTCAATGTGAATTTGAATTTAAGACATAATTTAAATATCTATTGTATTATATGCATATATATAACTTCTGTTAAACTGTGAGAACAGAAAGTAGTAATAAAGTGCATGTGTAGAATAAGGAATTGTGGAGACCTATTTTAGCTAACTATTTGACAAAGTAAAATTCCTGCCTAATGTTTTATTATACTTTGCCTAATGACCTTTAAAATGAACTGAAATTAAAACCATATTTTTGCAATGATATTGTGTTCCCTTTGATAACATCCCAAGTGTTAATTGTTGACTTCAAGGAACCCACACGTTGCAGGTCACTGCCTTTCTCACCTTAGTATTTTAGATGGAAGAGTCTTAACAGTAATTGCTTATGGGAATATGAGTTTAAGGGGAATGCTTTGTTTAGAGTATATTATACCAGATCGACTTATTTCAAATGGTCCCAGGAATCAGTCTAAAAACTTCATAATGATGTGAATTGTTTTTCCTCTTTTGTCATATATTGTAATGAGATGTATTTTCTTAGTAAAATTTTCCTATGCATAAAAATGTGTTATGACTTTGCATTTTTAAAGGCTGATATATATATGTAGGGCACTTTTAAAACTTGGTATTTTTAAACCTTGAAACACACACACACACACACACACACACACACACTCACTCACTCACTCACTCACTCACTCACTCACTCACTCCAGAATACTTGATCCCTTGGGAATATATTGTTAGACTTAAATTGACACGTGGAGCACTAATCATGCCCCCTCATCTTTTCACTTCCTTTTGTTCAGCTTTGTACTCTATTTCTCTCCTTATTTAGTCTAATCATAGCAATAAATAATTTCTCACTCATCTCCCCCACCACATATATATTCCAAAACCCTAATAAAAATACTAAATCATGAAAGATGAGAACACTAAGTCAAAATGTACTCAGTATCTCCTATGAAGCCAACTTGCCAAAAAATAGAAGCTGAATTAAAATTCTACAGGACAGATGACCTCATTTTTTTATGCAAATAAATGACAAGAAAAAAGGAGAGGAAGAAGAAATCATTAAATTTTAAGAGACAAGACTTATAAATGCAATGTGTAAACCTTTGGATCCTGATTCAAACAAACCAACTATGAATTAAGGTATTTTGGGAATAATTAGAGAAATTTGAACATTGAGCAGTTATTAGATGATATTAAATAAGGATGTTATAACAAGTTAGATTATGTTAAGGAATTGTTAGCTTTCAGGTGAGACAATAAGTTCTTTAAAGAGCTTTTTAAATTTCAAAATTTTATGTGTTAATTTTCTGACTTGAATAGGCTTCAAAAAGTTATGAGATGATCAGGAAAATTTGAACAGTGACTGGATTTGATGGTATTAAATTATTGTCTTTATGATGATGTTATGGTTGTGTTTTTTATGTCCTTTTATGTTTAGACACTGAACTGCCCACCATCATTATGTAGTGATGAAATTTTTAAAAAGGAAGGTTCCTTAAATGCTTGTCTGATTATTTATGAATAAAATGATACTGTGCCTGGAATTTGCTTTAAAATAATCCAGGATTTTGTTGTTGCTTTTGGAGGGACATGGGTTATATGTGAAACAAAAGGGACCAGATGTTGCTAACTGTTGAAGGTGAGTGATGATTACACATAAAGGTTCACTAAACATTTTCTCAGCTTTTGCATGTGTAAAATTTCCCCTAGTGGAAAAATTTAAACATGAATAAAAAGTTCTATCCGCTATTCTCTAAAGAAATCATAACCTCTAAGGAGTTGTAGGGAGCTTTGATAGGCGGACAGAAGCAAGCCATGAACCTCTGCAATGGTCTATGGAAGATACTGCTGTGGGGAACACCAAGCTGAGTTGTGATCAAGACCTAGCTGTAGAATGATCTGGTTTTTTTTGCGCACCCAGTTCAGCAAGTATCAGAATAAAGCTCTTTGCTAAATCTAGTGTTTAATACTATGCTAATCAGACCCAACGTGGCCAAATCCACCTTATTTTCCATTACCACATTAGTCCAAGTCAGCCGTCCTACAAGAACCTGCTCAATTCCTACCTCTTAACTAATCTCATGACTAATGATCCCCCCTTTTCCATATTCTGATTACTCCTTTTGCTTTCTCGTTCCCTCATATTAGTGGATGCTTTCCAGATAACATCTTTTCCCAACCTCAGTGTATGCTCCTAAAACCAAGGGCCACGACATATTTTTTAAATTCAGCATCAAAAATAATACTGTCCGCAAAATCGGAGCTCAATTAATATTTGAATAAATAAAGGTTATGAAGAGGCCAAAAAATTGATTACTTAGTACTTTATTGAGCAAAGCAGTCGGGTGGGAGAGAGGGGTGGGGTAAAGTGTTCTTGATTCCTCTCGCCCTGGAAATTTCAAAAAACCACACAACTATAAGGCTATTTGGCTGCTGTATACTTTGACCACCTCAAGTACGAAGAGCAAAAATCTGCATCTGACACTGCATAGGAGCTTGAAATGCTTTTTCTAAATGTTGGGCTTTATACGGAGTGAGTTTTTTCCCCTTGTGGTTTGTATCACCTCGTGCAAGTTTCTGCACACAGCGGGGTAGGGCTTTCCACTCGCGTCCAGCAGGCTATGCTGTGCGCAACCTAAGAGAAATGTCTGCAATGCTTGTGGCGAGTACAGCTCAGGCAGCTCGAGATTTTAAGCAAGCGTGCCGGTGTAGTCTTGGAGTAGGAAAGTGGAATACGAGTGGAGACTTTCGTGATCAATACAGTCATGCTGATACGAATGAATTCCGAATTCAAACCCACGTTGCTGTTTCCTCTTAAGGCACCTCAAGCTTCAACTTGCAGGTTTTAGTGGCCGAAAGATTCGTCCCAGCGAGAGAATAGAAATTACACAAACCTATGCATGAGCAAAAAAACACCAGGGACATCACTCCCGTTTGAAAACAGGACACGAACCACAAACCACAGAACAGTAAATGTTTTCATTTTGGGCGCCCTGGTCCTCACGGGTTCCTGCCCCCATCCTACCGAGCGAACTGGTGCGCGGGGCGGGGAAGGCGTCTCAGGCCCGCGAGACGCCCCGCGCGCAGGGCCGGGCGGGCGCCACCGAGCGCGGACCTCCGGCGCGTCCTAGAGCGGCCGCGAGCGGACCCAGCCCGCGGCTCACTTCCGCCCGCGCCGGTCGCCGCCCCGTGGACAGCTGGGCCTCGGCGTGGGCCTGTGTCTCCCTCGGCTCCCGCCGCGGGCCTCGGGGAGTGGGTGAGTGGGGCAGGGCGCGCCGGAGGGGTTCGGGCCAGGGTCTGCGCCGCCGCCGCCGTCGCCTCCCACGCGGCCGCCGCGTGGCCAGCGCGCGCGCCTTCTCCCGCCTCGCGCGGCGTGGGCCCGCGCGGAGCACCCGGGCCCGGGAGGCGCCCAGGAGCGCGGACGCCCCGAGGCCACCCCCGCCGGCGGGAGCCTCCGCCTTGCCGCCTTGCCGCCGCCGCCCACCCCTCCCTTGGGGAGACGGACACTGACTTGGCCGGAGAGCTGGCCCCGACCCCGCCCTGGCCGCTCGCCCTCTGTCTCCGGGGCCGCGCTCGCTCGTCTCTGAGATGGAGGTGGCAGCGTCCGCCCCGCCTGTGCCGCGGGGGGCGCAGGGTGGGCGCTGCCAGCCCGGAACGCGAGTCTCCACCCGGCAGCCCTTAGACTCATTTGGGAAGCCCTCCCAAGGCCCAGGCCCCAGAGTCGCCAGATGCTGGTGACGCGCCGCCGGGACCGAGAACCCCTGGCCCAGAGCGACAGCACGACGGTCGTGTGCTGTGTTAGGCGAGACTGCGCGCTGCGTCCGAGGGGGGTCGTTCCTGGTCAGGAGAAAGCAGGCGGTAGCGTTTTTGTCCAAGAAGACAGGGACCAAAGCTGGTTTAGTTATTTTTATTTCCTAGTGCCCAGAATGGTACATGTCACAAAAACATGCACCGCTGATGTAATACATAATTTCTGATTACATCCTGCCCTAATGGAGGGGTTTTGATTATTTGGTGTGTTTTTAAACTGTTTATTATGGAAACTCTCAAAAATATACGAAAATAGGATAGTGTACCGAATTCCCAACTCATGATCAATCCTGTTTTATCTAGTATCCTCACCCCCATTGGACCTTTTTTTTTTTTTAAAGGATTTTTTTTTATTGGGGAACAGTGTGTTTTTCCAGGACCCATGAGCTCTAAGTCAAGTAGTTGTCTTCAGCCTAATTGTGGAGGGCGCAGCTCCACGGCCCAACGCGAGGATCAAACTGTCAACCTTGGTTTGTGAGCCCTGCGCTCTAACCACCTGAGCTAACAGGACACACCCTGCTGGATCATTTTAGAGCAAATCTGAATGTACCCTTTCATCTGTTAAATACTTGTTTATGTTTATAAAACACAATAATTCCTTTTTAAACATAAAGCAGTCATTATCAGTCTGATAAGCATTTCATGTTATCATCTATCCAGTCAGCATTTCCATTTCCCCAGTTGTGTCTTTTTTTCCCTGCCACTATCAATTTGTCCAAATCAGGATCCAAACAAGCTGTACATGTTACATTTGATTGACATTTCATATCTTTTTTAATCTCTTTATTCCCTCTGTCTTTATTCCCTCCTCCCCCTGTATTTTACTTGTTGAAAAAAATCAAGTGATTTATCCTGTAAAATTTCCTACAAACTTGGATTTTGTTTTTCCATCCCTGTGGTGTTCTTCAACCAGCTGACATTTAGATTCCAGCCTTTTTCAGATTAGGTTCTACTTTTTGGCAAGAAAACCTCATCGTTACTGTGTCCTTCATATTGCATCACATTAGGAGTTAGAAAAGGTCTTGCCTGTCTTGTGGTATTAAGACTCATCAGTGAATCTTTTTTGTACAAATTGCACCACTGGCTAACTAAATAATTAACCAGGGATATACAGAAGGATGCCAGCTAATAACTGCAGAAGGAATGAGAGAAGATCACCTTTTGGCAACTCCTAATGAAATAATGGATCCTGACAATAATCATTAATGGTGGCTGTTACCATCAGGAAAAGAGAGACAGCAAGAAAGCATGTACTTCCTGATGGAAGTATCCAATACCACTTATCAAGTATTCTTGGATGATGGAATGGGGGATATACATGAACTAAGATTGGCCATAAATCGATAATTGTTGAAGATCGGTGATGGGTATGTGGCAATGCAGTATACTAATCTCTCTACTTTTGCACGTGTTTGAAAATTTCAATTACAAAAAGTTTTGTTAAAGATTGACTAGTGAGTTCAAGTCAGCCTGATCCCATCCAGTATAATATCTGGTCTCCATTAGCCTTTCACTAAGTGGTTATCAGATCTGACTGCACATTAGAATCATAGGGAGAAAAAAAAAATTTTTTTTAATACTGAAACACGTCTCACGTGCAGAATTTCCTGTTTAATTGTTCTGGGATGGAGCCCAATCATTGATATGTTTTAAAAGGTGATTCTGATTTGCTCAAGGGTTACATACCTAGATCCATTATTTGTTAGGGACTGCAAAGCGATTATATTCCATGATTCCTTCTGCATTTGTTAACTTTTTGTATTTTTAACTTTCATTTTGTTTATTCTCACCTCTCTTGCAAACTGCAATCCAATAGGAAGCCTTTGCAAATTAAGCTACTTAATTACCAAAGGAAAGTTTGACCTTGAAAGTGGAAAGGTGGAGTAACATGTGGAAGGGACGCTAGCAGGAACCTAAAGGCTTGTGTGAGGTGGAGAGATGTACTATCTGTGTGTGTCAGGTGTGGGCGGGGTGAGGGGTGTGAGGAGCTGACTGTATCCCCAAATTGAGAGGAGGATTAGGTGATAGTTAGGACAGCATGTTCAGCCTATGACACGTTTTTTAAATCATCAATATTAAGTAAATATAAATTAAAATTAAATCAAATGCTGTTCATAACAACCAAAAACAATTCAAAGATTCAAAAGAAAAAATAATTCCCCCCTACAAGCACCATTTTAATCACCCCTGAGGTAACGGGTATTAACAATGTGGTGTGTATCTTTCCACGCCAGATTTTCTTTGTCTTATATAAATGTAGGGGGTTTGGACATTGTTATGACATGAGATCATGTCATAGCCATCTGTAACTTTTCTCATTGTCATCCCTCCAGGAGAAGGGTTACAGACCTGACTTAGCTTCCTAATAAACAGTTTATGGTATGAATGTATAATAAAAATTCAATTGTTTCCTGATTAATGTTTTCTTCAGATTGCTTCCAAATTTTAGCCACCTTAAAAGTACTGAAGTTAACATCACTGTAGATAATTATTTTTGTAGAGTAGATTCCCCAAAATGGGATTGCTTGGTTAAAGTGTGTTGTTATTAGCAGCATCATTACTATTGGTAACATGTATTGCCAGATTACTCTCCCAAAACATAATAGCAATTTATACTTCTACCACTAGTAACATATGAGTACACATTTTTTTTGTCCTGATTAGCATTGACTAGCATTAATATTTGCCAGCTGATATGTGGATGTCTGTTTTCTTTAATTTGCATTTCTTCTAACTACCTGGAGACTGAACACTTTTCATGCTTATTGGCTGTTTGGATGTCTTCTGTGAATTTCCTGTATATATCCATTTTTCTATTGTATCAGTTATTTTTTAATGCAGTTACATGAATTTTTTTTGGGGGGGGGGCATTAACGCTTTATCACACAGTGCAAACAGTTTTCGCCAGGTGGTTTTTTTGGTCCTTTGACTATGAGTCTTGATATATGAAAGTTTTTATGTAGTGAAAATGCATATATATATATATATATATATATATATATATATATAAATTTCTGTGTTTCCTATCTTGCCAATAAAGGCTTTCCCATCCCCCAAATTATATACATATTCTCCTAATTTTTTAAAACAGATTTTATTGGACCTTTTACAGTTAAATTTATAAACCATGTGGAATGCATTTTTATATACAATGCAAAGTGAGAACCTTGCTTTACTTTCTTCTGCAAAAGTAGCCAATTATGACAGTGCTGTTTATTAAATAAGTTACCCTTTTTATACTTTCATTATATATTGATTTCCATACATACCTACATTTATTTCTGCATTGTCCCTTTTCTTTGATCTCTATTTTTGTGCTATATTTTTCTCTTTTATTTATACCTTATTAGTGTAGTAAGGGTAATATCTACAAAGGGAAGTCCCTACTCATTACTTTATGTATGTAATTTTCTTGCCCATCCTTAGACATTTATTTTTCCTTCCATGTGATCTTTTGGTTTTTTTTGTTCCAAGAAAAGTTTTCACTGGGAATCTGATAGAATTCGCATTAAATATATCTATATTAATTATGAAAAGATGAACACATTAAATCTTTGTATTAATAAATCTAATGTGTGTGTGTTTTGGTTATTTTAGGGCCTGTTCCTTTCTTATTCATTTTATTTCTAGTGATTTTATAAGGTTTTTTTTTTCCTGTGAATGAGAGTTTTCCTGTTTCTATTTTTATCTGGTTATTGCTAGGACTGAGGAAAATTATTGATAATTTTGTATATTTATTCAGCTCTCTGTCAAATTTTCTTATTTTAGTATTTTTTCTTAAAATTGCTATGTTTGTTTTCCTCCCTGTCCTCAGTGTGGGTAATCTATAATTGGTTAGGTGTAAGTTTGAGTTTATTCTCTATTTGATGCACATCTCCTACTACAGAAGTATATCAGAAATGGTAGGTGTGCCCAGAAATAGTGAAAGAGAGAGATGTCAGGAGTTGGCAGAAATCTACACACTCAACAGGTTATTGCTGATCACTTAAAATAGCAGAAACTCACATCCTAACCAGTCATGGACCCTGTCATTTAGGGGAGTGAGATATTCACGGGGCATTACTGTGAGGTATCAGTATTACTGTAGTATTGTAGAGCATTGCTATATGTATGACCGTTTCAGAGAAAGGGCTGACCACCATGGGCACCAGCAATAGTAAGCATAATTAAATCCCATTTCAGAATCTCAAATGGAGTGGTTGTTATCGTTTAGTATTTATTAGAAGAATTTTAAAAAGAAATTAATGCATGGCAAGTACAGAGTTCCTATATACTCCCTCACACACACACCCAGATCACTTATTGTTAATATATAGCATTAGTATGGTATCTTTGTTGCAGTTGATGAGCCAATATGGTACATTATTATTAACTGAAGTTTACATTAGGGTTCAGTCACTCTTGTGTTGTATTAATACAGTCTATGGGTCTTGACCAATGTGTAATGAAGTCTATCTCTACTATATCATACAGAATAGTTTCACTGCCCTAAATAACAGTAAATCTCTCAGGAACCTGTTTTTTGATGATTTTGAGCAGTGATGTGAAATAATCCCTAGGTGATCTTTCCATTGCAGGATAGAAGATGTCTATGGATGTGACGTTTCTGGGGACAGGCGCAGCATACCCATCCCCAACTCGGGGTGCCTCTGCTCTGGTCCTGCGGTGTGAGGGCGAGTGCTGGCTCTTTGACTGTGGGGAGGGAACCCAGACACAGCTTATGAAAAGCCAACTTAAAGCAGGTTAGTGTGCAATCAGCTATCTCATTAAGACTGTCTCTTGTTCTGCTTCATTTTCCTGGCTCTCCTTGGCCCTTTGCTCAGACAGCCCTGACAGTTGCATCCCACATCAGTGCTAAATCCTGGCAAGACATGGAAGACCCTCAGACATTTGGCCCTGCCCACTGAACTTCATTTGTTTATTTACTTTTCATTCACCCTGGGAATATTGAGCGCAAAGATTTATAGAGGTTCAGGGAGCTAGAGGATGGAATGAGATACATCAGGCATATTAGATGGACACTGGCCAGGCAAAGGAACAGTGTATACACTTATTTTCACCAGGAGAGAGTTGTAAGTATCAGGAGCAATTGCAAAGGGCAAAGAAGTTGGGAGGAGAGACACACTCCTTTTCTACTTGGGGCTATCAGGGTTGGCATCTCAGAGAAGGTGACTTGTGAGTTGTCGGAGGAGGAGGAGGGATTCGCTGGGCTGGGGAGAAGAAGGGTGTTCCAGCCAGAGGAAGTGGAGTAAGCCCAGGCCCAGCAGAAGGAAGACCGAGGAGGAAGTGGTGGAAAGCCTCGGCCTGGAGCCTGGCAACCCTGAGTTCCAGTGCAGCTGTGTCTCGGCTTGTGACCTGAGCAGCTCAGCAAACATAATGTTTACTTTTCTCCTCTCGAAAAGGGGCATAAAATCTCTACTTAGAAGGGATGTTATGAGAATTAAATATAATAATCCCTTCTCTGTGTTGTTGTCTCCTCATCAGTTAACTCTTAGCTCTAATACCATCTCCTCAGAGGCGCTGTGAACCTCCGGGTTAGGTCATGCCGTCCTCACCCCAGGCATTCTACTGACCCATCCTATGTTTATTGACGTGTTAGCATCATCAGTGTCTAAAATTATGTTATTTCAATAGCTGTCGCTGTGCACGCTATCTCACTGTGCTAAGCTCAGCGATCACTTATGTACCTAGTAGAGGCCTACTAAATATCTGTTCAATTAGTGCACGAATAAGAAGTTCAGCACCTAGTACAGTGCCTCTCTTATCAGGTCTTGATAAATGGTGGTTACTGAGTTGTTATTCCTGTGACTCAACAGAGTGCATGGCATTTGAGGACTAAAGGAAATACAGTTGTAGCATCCAAGGATCTCTTGGTCTCTTTGTGGAAACTGACATGCCAACAGTCATAGTGTAATGTGAAAAGTAGAATAATGAAGGTGTCTTTTAAGTAATTTTGGAGCACGAAGAAGGGGGACATTAACAGTATCTGTGTCTTCAGAGAAAGCATCCCAGAGGTGGTAACACTTGAACTAAGATCTAAGGGATAAATCGAAGTTTCTGTAGGGAGAGAAATAGGGCTGGACATTCAAGGAACAGAAAAGAAAGTGAGCAACAAGTAAGAGGGTTCCCAGGAGAAAAATGATACGTTTGAGGAATATTAAGCCACCCAGAGCATGGAGTACTTGGCTAGGATGGGTGGGAGATAAAGACACTGCAAGTAAGTGAGGGCAGACTGTGACGTCTTCTGTGGTTATATTAAGGTATTTGGACCTTATTATTCTATTGGCAATAAGGAACCATTAAAAGTTTATAAGCAGGGGAATGACATGGTCTGATTTGTGTTTTAGGACAGCGTTTTCCTCTGGCAAAGGTATTGGGAGAGAGAGAATAGCATCAGGGAGACCAATTTTGAGAAGAAAGAGGAGAGGATGTTGAAGCAGGAAGTAGGGACACGAATGAAGAAGAGAGACTCAAGCCAACAGGTGCTGGTGACTGGTTGAAAGTCTAAGGTATGAAGAAGTGAAAAATGATTACAAGTTACAGGTGGTGATGTCCCGCATCTAGATAGGAAATTAGGAAAAGAGCTGTTGGGGGAAGGTACCGGTGTGTATAACTTGGAACTCCTGGCCTTAAGATGTACATAGTTCAGTTGTAATGATACACTGTCTAGCATGATTTTTCAGGACACTCATAATATAAGCCCTACCCCAAACGTAAGTCCCAGTTAAGAGCGTCAGCCAGACATGACTGTTTGAATAAACGTAGGTTTTTGTACATGAATAAATGAATAAATGTAGATAGTTGGAGCAAAAATTAATATAAGACCTGGTCTTATTTTGGGGGAAACACAGTAGGTTTTTTTGGGGGGGGTTTTTTTGTTGTTGTTTTTAAAGATTTTATTGGGGAATTGGGGGAGGGGAACAGTGCTGGGGAATTGGGGAAGGGGAACAGCCAAGTTGTTGTCCTTCAATCTTAGTTGTGGAACTAGCTCAGCTCCAAGTCCAGTCGCGCTGCTCAGCTCAAGGTGCTGTGTTCAATTAATTGCGGGTGGGCGTAGCCACCATCCCATGCTGGAGTCAGCCAGCAGCCTTGTTGTTAGGAGCACGTGCTCTCACCAGCTGAGCCATCCTGCCACCTGTTGGCAGCTTAGTGGCAGCTCAGCTCGGGCGCAGCTCACTGGCCCGTGTGGGAATAGATCGAACCAGCGACCCTGTTGCCCAGAGCTCGCACCCTTGAGCAAGCTCTTAACCTTAACCAACTGAGGCACTCAGCCAGCCCAACATGGTAGTAGTTTTAAAGTGAACAGTTTGCAAAGCTAAGCCTGGCAAAAAATTATTTAATTAATTAAATTACGCCTAAGAGAACCTTTAGCCTACTAAATTTTTATTGGCTTAAAAAAAATGTACTGGCCTCAGAGAGGAGGGTGAAGTGGTAATCGCAAAACATTTTCTATGACTCTCTAGCACTTCAAAAGCCCCAGTCTCAGACTGGAATATAGCACCTTCAATACAGCTTGGTTTTTCTCAATAACCCAGTGTGAACCTATCATTATTTGTTTCATTGAAACCCTTCCAGCTTGTACACCTCCTGGGGTAGTAATATTTCACGAGGAAGTACTTTCTGTTTATCTAAACATACTTCTTTCAGCCTTCCATGGTCCTTACATACAAGCGTCTGATTAACAAGTATAGGTTTGCCATGTGTATTTCTTTCATAATTTTAAAGACTGAGGTGAAGCCTTCCTTTTTCCCTTAAAAATTACTATAAAAAGTATACATGCTCATTGTAAAAGTTCAATCAAAGCAGAAAAGTATAAATAAGAAAAGTCTATGTCCCCGTCTCATAGGTAAATTTTCTGTACATGTATGTATGGTGGTGGTATAGGGGTGTGTGTGTGTGTCTTTAATTTTGTATAAATGGAATCACACTATACTTGATGTAACCTGCTTTTTTTCAACAGAACTACATATACAAACAATATATTGCAGACATCTTCCTAGGACAGTAAGTATAACTGCATCATCACTTAGAATATGTTTAGTATTCCACTCCTCAAGGGATGACATATTCTCCTGTAATTTTCTTGTTCTCAATTGAAAGGGAACACATGCATTTTTCTGCCTTCATCTGATAGCTTTGATAATTGTGGTTGCCATTCCTTCTCCCTCTGAAATCAAGTTTCTTGAAAAAATGAAATGGTTTGTCTTCCTTGAACATGTGACAACTGTGAGAAGCAATTTTTTACTTAACTTAATTTGTCTCACTTGCTTTGGATTCACAGACTGTTTTGGTATTCAGTTTGGCTCTGTTTTCCGGTAGATAAGGAGAGGGCCCAGAAAGCCTGACGCAGCACTTTTGAGGTCAACATGAGATCGGGACTCAACAACTGTTGTAGGCCTCGGGTCACACTTGTGGGTGCCTTGGCAGCCTGGACAGCAAGAAGGGGGGAAATGAAAGGGTCCTGAAAGTAAAAAAACAGTAAAAAGAAAGACTGAAAAGATAATACAAAAAGGAGCATACTGAGGAAACTTCTAGAGTACTTCCTGGGGACTCTCAAGGTCCAAAATCAGCCTCTGTCCAATCTATTCTCTGCCACCGGGGCCTGGGCTTGGTATACTAACTCGCTTGGAGAACATTTTTGCCTTGCTGTCACAGGACAAATCACATGACAGTAAACTATTCCTGTTCTTTTATCGTATTGATGAACTGTTCCTGTTCTTTTATGATAGCAAATGTTTGAAATAGGTGGGCCATGAGCTAGAACCACAAGTCTCTGTTATACTAAAAATGTGTTCATTGTGATTGTTACTCTTAAATGCTTGTGGTGCATCTCAGAAAAATGCTGATTTGGCATCTTTCCATATGCGGGCAGTAAATTCCATTTACTATTGGGTAAATCAAGTTACACCCAAAGCCAATATGCACTGAAAAAGCTACAGTGTTAGTTCAGGCTGAAGGGAAGGGATGAGTGCACATACTTTTACATAACACCATAGGCCATCTGCCTTCTGGTCTGCCTTCCAGCGTCAGGTGCCCACTTCCCCCCGCCTCCGTCCTTCACCCTGGTTCCTCTCCGATGTCCTGATTCCTCCCTCTTCCCTTGCCTCTCCCTCCCTCATCATCCTCCCTTTTATTCTCCGCCTTCAACTGCACTGAGACAAGCAGGCTTTAACTTGGTTAGTTAATCTCTGTCCAGTGTAGAAAGTCCTTAAAAGGCAGTTTTGGGTTCAGGCGCTGGTCCAGTCAGTGGGAGCCTGGGGAACATTCATTTTGCTGGAAATACATAATTGCTATTCTCAGAGGGAGCCAGAGGGGGCAGTGTAACTGTTAGATGCTTTTGACACACTGGAGGCCTGTCTAGTTACTTAAGTGAATTAATTTGGTACAGTTTGTTATTGCAGCTATTTTTGTTTTTATTAAGAGGATATGTAGGAAAATACTTTGAAACCTGTAACACTATGTGATTTGAAGATGTTTTATTAACCATGTCTTATTAAAACCATCTAGTGAAATAAATCCTGTCTTTCTTGCTTCTGGAATCATATAGAAAAATATAAAATAAGTTTATAGTGATAAGTAAAACTCTAAATTCACTTTACTGCTTTCTATGTAAGTTGTTATGCATGTTTCAAGTAGCTTCGTATGGATTTTTAGCTCTGAAAAATTCCCAATGTTATTTCTCTGCCTCAATCAAAAGGGAGAATTACTAAGATCTTCATCACGCATCTTCATGGAGACCATTTCTTTGGCCTTCCTGGCCTGCTCTGCACAATCAGCCTGCAGAGCAGCTCCACAGTCACCAAACAGCCTATTGAAATCTATGGCCCTGCAGGGCTTCGGGATTTTATCTGGAGAACCATGGAACTGTCTCACACGGAGTTGGTCTTCCCTTACGTGGTTCACGAGCTGGTGCCTACAGCAGATCAGTGTCCCACTGAAGAACTAAAAGAATTTTCACATGTGAATACAGCAGACAGCCCTCCCAAGGAGGGAAAAGGAAGAACTATCCTATTAGACTCAGAAGAAAACTCGTACCTTCTGGTCGATGATGAACAGTTTGTTGTAAAAGCATTTCGCCTCTTTCATCGAATTCCCTCCTTTGGGTTTTCAGTTGTGGAGAAGAAACGCCCAGGTAAACTCAATGCACAGAAACTGAAAGACCTCGGTAAGTGTTTTTTTTGTTGTTGTTCCTTCTCATCAATCAAACTGTTGTTAACTGAAGCTGTTGGAGTGTTGTAGTGACCTTCCTTTCCTGTCTCCCAGGCCTAATACTGACACTTTCTCCACTTATTTCCTTTGCCCAAAGTTTGCTTATTAAGGGAAATTCCTGAGGCCAAAAGATGCTATGCAGAGCAAAACCTAAGCATGTGTTTAAATCTTTCTCTCTTCAGCTCCCCTGATGCATACTTTTAGTCTGTCTTAACTCCAGCTTACACCATCTTGGTTGGCAGGGTAGTGGTTGTTGTCTTAGGTCTAGGCTTTTATTTTCTCACATCTTCCTTTTGAAATATGTTTTCAATGATATCTTTGGCCTGAGAATATTTGCCATATCTTAACCTTGCAACTGCAACCAGCTACTTTCAGGGCTTCCCTTCTCTACCTTGATTGAGTTAATTCGGCGTTCGGAACACTGCGCCTCAGCCATTTTGCATCCCTGGGTTCATCATAGTTGGAAGCAAGCACACAAAGATGGGCCTGGGGCCCACCCGAGGCCTCATGCCTCTTCCATGTTAGGGCTGCATGTGTGAGGGGGTCTTCAGCACCTCTCTCGAAGCAACGTCCACCACCTTCCTTGGCATGGCCATGGCAGAGCCTACAAAAAGCACGATGGTGTCTTTTGTATGTTTGTTTCTTTACCCAACAACTTCTTCCTTTCCCAACTAAAACAAAATGCAAAATAATGAGAAAAAGTGACTTAGGCCAAAGATATTTTTATTATCTAAAAACCTGTGGAAATACTCTTATTTTGAGGAACTTTAATATGACTCATGTTGGAATCAGTAAACACCCTCTGTTTGTGTGTAGGTATTGTCCAGGGTGATGATCAGGTCGTATTCTACATTAGCATGAGATTTAAGCCTAGCTTTGGTAAACGAGGAACTGCCTGTCTCCAAAGAAGACTGATGATGCATAATTGTCTGAAACTCCTTGATCTTGTGACCCAAACAATCCCCTCTAGCACTTTTTTTATTAAGTTAATTTGTAGGTACCTTGTCATTATTTAAATGGGTTCTTTAATTTTGCCCGAAGATGGGCTTATTAAAAAAGCACTCACAAAAACTGTTATTCCCATGCAAGTGGAGAACCAAGGCTGTTAACTGTGAGAAGGTCCTAGTGGGACTTAAGTGCTTAAAACTCATCTAACACTTGTGCTTGGGAAATGTTTTAAGAGCCAGGGCATTGCCAACACTGAACTTTTAACAATGTATAAATATTCCAGTTTTCCACAAATAGTAAAATATTTATAACAATTATGAGAAGAATTGGCTGCCTTTTCTAGTTGCTATTTGCTGTGCTGTTAAAACAGACTCTAGAGTCATAAATTCCATTCCCATGATGTGATGTTATCTGCCTCCATCATTAGGTGTCCCGCCAGGTCCTGCCTATGGGAAGCTGAAAAATGGAATTTCTGTTGTCCTGGAAAATGGAGTTACAATTTTTCCCCAAGATGTCTTAAAAAAGCCCATTGTTGGAAGAAAAATCTGCATTTTGGGTGACTGTTCTGGGGTTGTGGGTGATGGAGGAGTGAAGCTGTGCTTTGAAGCAGACCTGTTGATTCACGAAGCGACCCTGGATGACGCCCAGATGGACAAAGCGAAGGAGCATGGCCACAGCACGCCGCAGATGGCAGCAGCGTTTGCAAAGCTGTGCCGAGCAAAGAGGCTGGTTCTGACTCACTTCAGTCAGAGGTACAAACCAGTCGCCTTGGCCAGGGAAGGAGAAACAGATGGGATTGTAGAACTGAAAAAGCAAGCTGAATCAGTATTAGATTTCCAAGAAGTGACTCTAGCAGAAGATTTTATGGTGATTGGCATTCCGATCAAGAAATGAAACCAGTGTTCCTGAGAGCCTAGCGCCATGTCTGTGAACATGTTCCCGAACCCACAGTCAGTGTTGTTGTCGTTGTTTCTGTTTCTGGTGTTGTTGTTTTGGTCTAAAATTATTTGGGTCTTAATAATCCTAAGAAGGACGGAGCTGCATCGCTGAACTGACTCAGCAGGGAGAGGGAGCAAAGTTTTTGATAATAAATCATTTTAAAAAGAAAAAAAAACAGCATCCTTTTTAAAGTCCAACTTTGACAAAACGATAGACTAGTCAGGTATATTTGTGTTGTGTGGCTGCTGCTCAGATACACGCCAGGACCCCGTGCAATCCTGGGCTCCGCTTCTGCTCAGCTTCATTGCTGTTGTTGGCAAGGTACACAGGGCTTGGCCCTCTCGGCTAGAAATGGTATTTGGCCGTTTGTGTTGAATCTGTTCGTATTATTAACAGAATAGAGAGAAGTGTAAGGAGACATTGGACATGCAGGATTGAAGCCTGCATGTTCAATCTTGAATTCTTTGCTCAAGTACTGAATGCAGGGGCGGGCTAGATGTTTATCCTTCAATTAATACGTTATTGAACTTGCTAGTTTGCTCCTCTGAGGGTGATACCACTCCCCTAGATGGAGCTTTCAAATTGTTGGGGATGTTTCTTGTCAAAATGAGGTGGGGAGGTGGAGGGGGATTGGAGTCAGTAGGAGCCAGGGATGCTAGATCCTGCAGGGTTTGGGTCAGTCCTGTATGGTGAAGAATTATCTCACCCTAAGATACAAATTGCAGGTATATAGCAACTTCAAACTTATACTCCCAGTGTGTATCAAAATTAGTGACATCATGAGTTGAACTACTAGGAAAGTCAAATTCTACAACAAATCCTAAAGAAGTAGCTAAGTGAATGTGTTGGAATTAGAACGTCGTATCAAATGTTATTTGACAGAAATGAGCCATGAGCTGGAGCTTATGAATCTAGAGGTAAAGAAATGATATCTATTCTACTGAGGTTTAATTTAGGTGTTCCTATTCATAATTCTTTGAGCACAATTTTAATAAATATTCTTTCTAGAACAGCTTTTCCTTCTGAGGTGCCTTCCACCTCCCTTGTGTCTGCAATGGGGTATCTCTGGGTCATTTGCCCCACAATATTTCTCAAAATGTGTTACATGGAAAGCTAGTCTCAAGTACTGATTTATTCAAAGGGGTTCCCTATTCAGATCAGTTTAGGAAACCCTTTATGCTATGTGTTTCTCTGGGAGTGTTCTAATGCCCAGTGATACGTTAAACACAGCACGGCTTGAGTGGTCAGAAACCAGCCTTTGATGCCAGGTAGACCTGATTTCAGGGTCCTGTTCTGTATCTTATGGTGGTACCTGGGTGGCCCGGAGCAGATTAGTCTCTGAGCTTCTGATTGCCCATCTCTAACTATGTCCTAGGATTAGTGTGAAGCTTAAGTAAGACAGTGCATAAGAAGAGTGTAGCACATTGCTTAAAAGCATTGAGAAGTCCTGCAGTCCAGAGGCCTCTCAGCTCTACTGAACCCCTATTTTAGTCCTATTTCACCATATACTATTTATTTTCATCTTAAGAACCTAGAGTTTTATACTACACGTATTTAGAAGTATTATGATGGTGTACACTGTTAAGTTTCTTTGGGTTCTGGGCCTTCTTTAGTAAAAGAAAAAAAAATCGGGCTGGCTGAGTGGCTCAGTTGGTTAAGAGCTCGCTCAAGAGTGCAAGCGCTGAGCAGCAGGGTCGCCAGTTTGATTCCCAGCCCAAGCTGAGCTGCCAATAGGTGGCAGGATGGCTCAGCTTAAAAAAAAAAAATTTTGACTTCTGGTTAGTTCTGGAGTCCGTGAAGTAGCGATAATCAAGATGGGTGTAGTTCCTCAAGACCTCAGTCATCTGGAAGCAGCCTCCAGGATGGTCTGATTCTGGCTCTGGGCTCTCGGCCCGCCAAAGTGCCAAATTTTAACCAGGCTTAAACTTGGTTTCTGAGCTCACTTCAAACAAGCATTTATTAGACACTTACCGTGTGCCCAAACCTGCACAAGGCAGCATGGCTAGTACTAGTACTTCTACTGCATGGAGCTTGTGAGGGTAAAAACTGTATCTTAGTCACCTCTACATTCTTAGAAATAACCCGCCCATAGTAAGCATTCAGAAATGTTTACCAAATGAGTGGGCCGGCTGAGTAGCTCAGTTGGTTAATAAGAGTTTGCTCAAGAGTGCGAGGTCTGAGCAACAGCAGTTCGAGTCCCGGTTCGAGTGCCGGCCCGAGCTGAGCTGCCGCTGAGCTGCCAACAGGTTGCAGGATGGCTCAGCTAAAAAAAAACAAAAAAAAAAAAAAAAAACAACAACAAAAAGACAAGAAATGTTTACCAAATGAAATGAGGCCTTGATATGGTGTGCGTGTGAACTTTAGGACCTGGGCCTCACCCATTTCATTACTGTATTTGTCCAGAAAATTTGACCTGGTTGGTGGTGCCCCATTCACTGAGTACCAACCCAGTGCCAGGCTTCACTGTGTTGGAAATATGTAAAGGAACATAAGACAAAATTCTAGGCTCAAGACAGATAAGTGGTCAAGACAGATAAATAAACACACAGTTCTAATCTTGTAGCTTGGCCCTCAGTTGTGCTGGTCCTGGGCATTATTTGGTAGCTGACCTGAGCTGTGCCCTTAGAAGCAGGCGCTATTAATACATGTGGGCTAAGTCCTCAGAGACCATTGGAATGTGGGAACGAATTGATGCATTGGATCAAGTGTAGGGTATCAGTCCATGATGAGAATTCTTTCTTGGACCCTTTTTTGGCCTAGACTTTGTTCTTAATGGTAGGGCACACTCTATAAGAATTTGTGGGGCTAGAATTAAGAATGAAACTTACATTGGACTTCCCAGATCCTATAATCTGCTTATGGTTGTAGGATTCTAAGAAGGGATTACAATATGTATTGTGCCCAAACTTCTTCAATTCCTGAGTCTTCTTTTGCTGAGGAACATCTTGGAACACTGAGAAATGCTGCCGTTCCTTAATACTTCTCAGAGTTATTATATTTATATTGTTTACCTGCACAATTTATTGAGGTAATAAATTCTATATCTACACTTAATATAGTATTTTCTTTGTCCTAATGTGACTTTTCAGTTGTTCAGGAATCCACAAGTAACTGCTTGTTTTGGATAAAAAATATGCACTTTTCAGTTTGCAAAAGGTGTTTAGACTTGCCCAAATAGACTGCAAATCAGCTGATTTCTAATACTCATGCCTCGTTAATATACTTTTAATGAACTTTTCATAATAAAAGAAGCATCTGATCTGTAGATTCAAGAAAAGAAGACGATTACCCCTAATTCCACCAACCAGAGAGCTACCACTTCTGGCCCAGTGGTCCTGCAGCTGAGGTGTGAGTCAGCATTACTCAAGGTAGTACGTAGGTAGACAAGGGTTAAGTAGACAGAGATCCTTGGGCTCTGATTCCAAAGACTAATTCAGTAGGTCTGGGGTAGGACCCAAGAATCTGCATGTATTAATAAGCTCCCCCCAGATGATTCTGAAGTATATGGGGGGCAGATCACACTGGGAAAAAACTGTCTTTTTTCTGTGCACTAAAAGAATTGGGGTGTGTATATACTTTATATATATGTAAATATATAATATGTTTATATGTGTGTATATTATACACAAGCATATTTGTACATGTAGGTTGACCTCAGCTGTTTTTCTCTTTTAACATTATGAGCATTAACTGTTCTTTGAAAGCATGAATTGAATTTTATATTATTCCAGTCTCTAGATGTAACATAATTTAACCATTTTCCTACTTTGGGGGCATTGCAATTGTTTTCCGTTATGTGTAAATAATACTGTCATGGATATTCTTGGGCGTAAATCTTTGTATCTCTGAGTATTTCCTGAGGATTGATTTCTCTGAAGATCAAAACATCTGACTTATGTTTTTAGACTCTGGGTAGGAATCTCCCACTTGTTTTCTAGCTCACACTCTGCAGCAGCATGACAGAGGCCTGTTTCATTACTCCATCAATAGATGATACGGAGTATCATCAATTAATGACCTTTCTATCACGTCTCTTCCAAGACATTTGTCTTATAAAATTATTTTTGCCTTCTAGTACAAATAACTATTATGTCTTTCAATTAGCACATGTAATTCAACTGTGATTTTTTTTTTTTTAATATTCTTAGGCCAGCTTAAAAATTTGGTAGTTTTTACTTAAAGGGATATAAAATCCTTACTGCTACAAATATGTTTATGACAGATGTACAGCGAACGTACTTTTGTCTTCACAAAGGTATAAATTTATAATGAAATGTACTGATTCTGTCCTTATTGATGGATGGATTTTTCAAGTAATGAATGAGTCAGAGTATTTTTTTTCTTATATGGGCAGAATAAAAAGGAAATGCTGGTAATGCTTTGACTGTTTGCTCTTGGCAGGATAAGAATAGAGTTAAGGGCGGGGGTGTGGCGGGACATGGGGTAAGATCAAGAAAAATCTTTTCTTCTGTAGTAGGAACTAAACAATATTTAAAACTAAAAAATAAATAGCACTTTAGGCTATATTATGTTAAAGCGGGGGGGGGGGAGGTAGTAAATACCAGATGAATAGTTAAGAGTGGAGGAAGAGACCCTTAGTGGAAGGTGCAGTGGGTCTGAGGAGGGGCAGTCAGAGGACTACTATTTTTCATAAGCCTAATGAACTAGTGCTATGTGATATTTTGAACTATTTATGCGTGTTTGTATTCATTTAGCTTAAAAATTACATTAATTTTAATGTAAGACACTGCTTTGAATAGCCATATCAATTACTGGTCTCCAGTTTTTTTTAAAATGCCAATCTGAGCCTAGCACCACCTGCGCCCCCCACTTGAGACTTTTTAATGGTCTTGTTTTACCCACCCTTTCCAACCTAGTCTTTTTTCACAGTGCCACTCACTTTTGCAGCCCTAGCCACGTGCACATCCTTTGTCAGAGCTTTCTGTTCTTGCACAGCCTTAGCACAAGCTGCTCCCTCTGCTCCCTGGACCTGGAATGTTCTTTCTCCTCTCCCCAAGTTAACCCTTACTGGGCATTATGATCACTGCAGTCACATCCTTACAGAAGTCCTGGACCTCCCCTCTGTGTAGCATATTTCTCTCACAGCGCCTGCAACCCACCTTCCTGGTGCTCGTCCCTTTGTATTTTCATTTTGCTTGTGT